TCTTTTCCCCTGCTTGGGAAATTTTCTGCCATCACTTCTGTGAACAGTTTTTTTATGACATCTGCACTCTCTCCTGTTTCTTCGTTGACTCCAATCAGTCTTGCTATTCTTCTTTGCATTGTCTAGCCAGCTGCTGGATTGATTTCTCATGGTCCCTTACAATTTTGAACCAATTTTTCTTTTCCTGGTCACTAATTGCAATCTTATCTTCTATATCTGAAATTCTGACTTCACATTGGCTCATTCTGCTGTGTAGACTTTCAATGGAGTTTTTAATCTCCTGAAAATCTATTTGTGTCTGTTTTATGGATTCCATTTGTTTCCTATGTTGGAATTCCATCATGTTCCACGGCTCCTCTATTTTTTTATCTGTGTTCTCTCTAGCTTTATTAATCATGTCTTGTACTATGGGCACAATCTCTGCTGTTATCAGAGAAATTATTTCTAATTTCATTTTTTCCAGATCCTCTTTTGTGGCCAGTTCAGGGAGTTCAGGTGGTTGAGTGTCAGAGTGTTCCATCTCATTTCCCTTTTGGGGTTGCTGTAGGTGATGTGAAGTCTGGTTCTGAGACTTGTTTACGTGTCTTCTCATTTTGACCGGGGGAGGTGGGGGTTGTGCTGTTGGCGCCCATGTGGCTTACCTCCTCTGAGCTCGGAGCGTTGGAACATCGGCCCAGAAGCCCCTACCTCTGGGCTGGGAGTGATGGAAAGGTGGCTGGGAAGCCCCTACCTCTGGGCCTGGGAGCAGTGGAACAGCGGCCTGGAAGCCCTGGGCTGGGAGTGGTGGAACAGCAGCCCAGAAACCCCTTCCTCTGGGCTGGGAGCAGTGGAATGGCCTCCTCCTCATGTGTTTTTCTTTTTCTCTTGGTACCAGGGATCGAACTTGGGTCCTTGTGCTTGTGGAGCAGGCGGCAAAACCACTGAGCTAAATCCCAGGCCCTCATCCTCATGTTTGACGGGGAAAAAAACCAAAGCTTTCAATTTATATAAATTCAATAAAATCATAATGTTAAAAAATTTTTAGTTAAGTCTCTGTTGTCTCAGATTATTCAACAAAATGAGATAAGACTCAGATAAACTATAACATATATACTTCATTTTTCTTCTAAGTTATTACATTGAAAATTTGTGACTATAATTGTCCAGTGAATTCTATTTGAGGATCCTACTTTAAATATCCATAGAAGAACCCACTAATTATAGCTAATCTAGAAAAAATGGTGGCAATCTTGATAATTCAATCAATAAACATTAGCTGACCTTTGTTGTGGTCAAGGCCAATGTTTGCACTGATGACATTGTCTTACTTTTCTCTCATTGCTGAGACAAAATACTCGACACCCAAAATTAAATAGGAAAGTTTTATTTGGCTTACAGTTTCAGCTGGCTCCAAGGGAGTATGGCTTGGCACAGGGGCTTCAAAGCAGAGAACAGTTCATGGTAGCCACAAGATAGCAAAAGCAACAAAGGACCTTAACAGCATCTTTCTGCCCCTTTTATCTCACCCAGATTAACAGGATTAGCACAGTGCCAAACCATTCAGTGGACTGGCTTAGTAACCACACCCCCTTAATCCCAGCATCATACACTCTAGATTTAGCCGCCTCTGAAAACGCCATCTATGACCGCATGAAGCTTTGGAGAAGACATCTAGACACAAACCATAAGACATACACAAGAGTTCAAAATCTAGTTTGTAGTCAGAATGTGCATACATGAGGAATAAACAAATGCAAACCAAATGAAAGAGAACACTGAGTTACTGGAAGGTGAAAACTTTTCTCCAGCGCTTCATTCCCCAATGGGCACAATATAGACACTCAAAAAATGACTGAACAGATGAATGACTGCCACCGATCCTACTGATTCGCCCTCCTATGCAGATCTGAAATCCACTGTCTTCCTCATTCCTCCAAGAGAATATGCCATGCAATGGTCACCAGGCTTGTGGTGTCTGGAATCAGATTACCTGGTATAGTACTTCTGCTCCACTACTTTTTAATCGGGTAACAATGAGCAATGTATATAACCCATAATGGACCTCAATTATGCTTTAATATCCTTATTTTTAAAATGAAGCCCGTGGCTATTGGTCACTTTCAGAAAACAGGCATCTGTCACCTCACCAAAAGCCCTTTGTCATCTGGCTGCCATACTTTCACCCCATTCCTCCAGCCAAGTGCCTCAACATGCTACTGCTGCAAATCTGAATGTGTCTTCTCATACACCTCCATTCAAGAACATTCCAAGATGTTCTGTCTACCTAGACCATGCTTTCTCCTTGGTCACTTAGATTTGTCTTTCTACCCCTTTGTGTCTGAGCCTAGATGGCTCCTCCATCTTAATTATCACCATATCCTCTGAAGAAGAGAGGGTTTCAGTTTAAATCCTGGCATTATCATTCACAGGTTTATCATTTACAAGTTTCATGACCTTGAAGGATTGCTTAATTTCTCTTGGTCTTATATTTTTGCTATCTTTAAAATGGAAGTGGAGGGGCAGGGATGTAACTCAGTGGTGCCGCCACCTGCCTCGCAAGCACAAGGTCCTGAGTTCAATCCCCAATACCAAAAAAAATGGGAGTGGAAAGAAACTGTTTGGTAGGGTTGTGTTACAGTAGTAGAAACAACTTGGCAGATTGTGTCTAGACATCCCCCAGAAGCCTCCTGCACTCATAGGTGGGGCTTTTAAGAGGTGGGTGATCTAGGTTGTGAGATGCTGGGATTAAGGGTGTGTGATTATTAAATTAGTCCACTGACTGGTTCAGCATAGTTCTGGTATGGATAACAGGAAGGCTCACCCTGGGTGTGAGGCACCACCCAAAATGTGGGTAGCCTAGAAGGGATAAAAGAGAGGTAGGCTGCAGCTTCTGCTGCTTCACTGTCTACTCCCTAGTTGATGCCCCTCTGCTATGCCACCCTGGCTTAGAGCCAGCCAACTAGGGACTGTAACCTCTACAAACCATGAGCTGAAATAAACCTTTCCTCCTTTAACATTAGGTGTTGGGTATTCTGCCTCAGCAATGAGGAAAATAACTAAGACAGGTTGCTATGAGGATTACAGTGTAAGACAAAACATCTCCCCCAAGACCTAGCCATAGAAAGTCTTAATATTATTCACTCTCACTGGTCCCAGGAACTTTCCTAAGCTTCCCCCACTCCTGAAGCAGGAGATCAAACCCAGGGCCTCAAGCACACTAGCATGCTAGGCAAGCATTCTATTGCCAAACTACATCCTCAGCCCTCCTAAGTATTTTTCATGAATTACCTATTTTCACACTCATAATGCCTTATTTGAAAACACAGGCTTAGAGTTGCCAAGTTATTCCCGAGTCATTAAACTTCCAACAGCAAAGAAGACTTGAACCCAAAACTTGATAAGCAGAAAAGGTTTAGCAAACAAGCAAGGGTCCGAGCACATAAGGGTGGTCAAGGTCTCAGGATCAGTTACTTATCAATGCTCAAAGAGAGCTGATTCCAAAGTGATCACTGGATTGTAACTTGAAAGTCTCATAACGTATAAGCATCATGATACAGGATTTGGGACAATAAAGAGTAAAGAACTCCAGAGGAATTACTGAGAAACTAGGCTTGGCCCCTAACTGCATGAGGAGAGAAAAGGAAGGAAGAAAAAGAGGAAGGGAGGGAAGGTGGGAGGGAGGGAGTGAAGGAAGAAGAAAGGAAGGAAAGGAAGGAGGGAGGCAGGAAGAAGGGAGGAAGGGAGAGAGGAAGGGGAAAAGGGAAAAAAAGAAAGAAAGAGAAAAAATAAATCTCAGTATCTAATTCCCTCTAGAGGGAGATAACTTTATTTGTACGCTAACAAAGCAAATGTGTCATGCAATTATAAAAACTCATGAAAATATAAAAACAATATTACATTTATGTGGCACTGAAGGTATCTAAATATAAAATTTTAAATGATTAATAAATAGTGACTCTTACAAATATAACTCATCTATATTTATATTTTTATTTTCAGAAAAGGACTTATAAATAGTTCACTTCAATACATTTCTCACTAGTTAGATCACAATTCACTTTATAGTTAACTTATGTCCAAAAAGAATTTCTTTCCTGTATGATTTCATTTTCTTAAAAAAACAAAACTTTATTTTCAATAGAAATGTAAGTCAAAATAATTTCAGTAAAAATGGAAATCAACTACCATATCTTTTCTTGAGTTCTTCAACAGAATTATCTTTTAATCCTGATTTGTCTATGTGATTGAATAATACACGTGCAACTGAAAAAGAAAAAAGAAAAATCTGCTTTAATTTCATTTTTAAAAACTAACCGAAATGTAAAGAGTAATGAAATCTAGCAGATAAGCTTTTTACATTTTAAAAATAATAATTCAAATTAATTATAAATTCCAATTCACACATTTAAAAAGCCAATCTGAGTATAAAAATTCTACAGCAAGCCAAAAGTATTCCTTCACAGAATATTTTGCTCTGACAGTATAAAATTTCCCCTACATCCTCAATGGCATTAATCTTATAGATTAAACTTAACTCATCTCGTACTATCCTAAAAAGTTTTTGTACTGTCTGTGTAACAAGTGTACTTTTATTTAATATTTTCATTTCAATTAACTGTTTTTCAAACTTAAATCATTGTATTTTAAAACTTTTTATCACTACCGTAAATTGAAAATCAGCAATAATATCTATGAAATCACACTGGATGGTCCAATTATATATTATTTTTAGATTACATAATAAAATATATAACTACTGAAGGTTAAAAACGATTTGTCCATGAATCATGTAAAATCATCATTCCTACCACTGAGGGATCCACATTCAACAGTTTTGAAAACACTTTTACAGTTCATGGTTCTCAACATTAAACTGGAAAACTCGCTAACAGTTATTAATCATAATGACAATAATCAAAGATGTGAGCAGCTAACACTGAATGCTCAGTTATGCACCAGAACCACTCTAAGTGCTTCCTGTGTTTAACTTAGCAGACGGTGGTCACCCAACCAAGATAAGGCTGGCTGGCCAGTCTGAAGAGTTCACATGTTCTGATACACGGTGAACTTAATCACACCAGACGGACAAGAAATGCATTCAACACATTTATGCTGAGAGGTTATTAAGTACCAGCACTGAGGTCTAATGAATAAAGTAGACAAAATTTCTGGTCTCATGGGGCTTCAATTCTGGTGTAGAGAGAGAAATAATAAAAATACAAAAAATACTGTCAGCTAGTTAAAGAAAAATGAATACAGTAACAGAGGGTGAGAGGGGAATGGCAAGCACCAGGCAGTTACTCTAACCAGGCTGGTGAAGAAAGGTATCTTCAAGGTGGCAGCAGTTAGGTGAAAACTGAATGACGTGAGGAAGCCCCAGGTGAAGCTGTGTGAGGTGTTCTAGGTTGAGGAACAGTAAAAACAAAGTCCCTGGGGTCAAACCAAGTTCAGCAGTTTGGTGAATTAAAAAGATAAAAAGCCAGTGTGTTGGGGCAAAGTGATAAAGAAAAAAAGTAGTATTTATCAGGAATTTCAGGAAGTGTTTTTGGTTAACAAAGATGATACAGAAACTTTAGAGCTAAAGCCTATTAAAAAATAAATGTCCAAATTAAGTATATGTTTACTTTCCTAAGTACAATGTAAAGAGTATCTTTCTTACTACTCAAAATCATTCAGTGTTGCTGCTAGAAACAAAGAAGAAATCAGAAGGCTGGGCTTAGAGGCACAGCACTAGCCTAATATGCATGAGGGCCTAGGTTTGATCCTCAGCATAACACAAAAAAAAATTTTTTTCAAGCTTACTAAAACAAAAAAAAGGAATTCCAAATATGTTTAGAACAGGAGGTATTTAAAAATGGTACATTGAGATTTTTCTAATTTTTAGAACTAAAGAATGGCACTCTTGTATTTGAATGATTTTTCTTTTTTCCTGAAATCAGAACATAATCCAAAATTTTGAGTAATGAAGTTTTGGCAGTTTGATTTTACTTTAATTGGGTTTCTCAAAACTGACCCCTCATCTAACTGACTCAGTAATTCAGCTGCAATCAAACAAACTCAAGAAAATTACCTCCCGCAGAATGGATGAGATACTCCCAGTACCAGGCTTGGCTACATGCACCATGAAGGCAGGTCTCAACCATTATATGCCACTCTCTCTGCATGTCCAGAAGAGCCCAGGCTACAGAACTGGACTGCCTGCGCTCAGATGCTGGGAATGGCTTTCCTGACTATGACCCTGGCCAAATCCCTTAATTTCTCTATGCTTCAGCTTCTCTGTTTTTTGCCTTTAGAAAAATCAAAATCATACCTACACCGGATAATACTGTTAGAATTATCAAATATAACTTTAATTGTACTTAACTAAATTGCACTTTAATTGAAGTTAATTTATATTTAATTGTTTACACCCTGTACATAGTAAATAGTAAATGCCTGCTATCATTTGTTGAATAATAAAGGAACATATAAAAGTAAGTCGATATAGAAAAGCTTTTATCCTTAGAACTTACTCTTTTTCTCAGGTTCTGACATAAACATCACCGCCATATCAAACCTTTTTAGTTCAGAAAGTCTTTGTAAGATTTCAAAGATAAGTGACGGCTTTTCTTTCCTGAAATAATCCAAATATAAAAACAAATTATCAGTTAAAAGCTGCTCACTATGGTCACTGGTCAGAGCATTACCCTAGGAGAATGTAATTTAAAATTCAACTTACTCAATGTAAAAGTCATGCAGAATTTTAATAATCTGGTTGAACACATCTGGATCTAGATTTTTCTGAAATAACTTCGGATACAAGGATGGTTCAATTTGCTTGAAGAAAAATAGAAAATTAAATTGTGGCAATATTCACATCTTACAAATTACATAATTATTGCTTCAGTAAAAATAGTAAGAATTACTATGCATTGATACTTCAACATTCTAAGAGACAGGAGATTTGAGAGAGCTCTCAAAGAGCAGCAACTATAGATTTTAAAAAAGTAGAATTACATAAGATAATAAATTCAGAATTGTTTATTAAGGGCCGGGGATTTAGCTCAGTGGTTCCCCTGCCTGCCCAGCAAGCGCAAGGACCCGAGTTCGATCCCTGGTATCAAAAAAAAAAAAGCATTGTCTACAATCATATTATACAAAAAGCAGATGTTATATAGCACTAGTATTATAATACAGTGACAAAAGAAGCTGTTTCACCTTTTACTTCCAAAAGAACTACTAGCTTCCTCTCTCTTACCTTTAAATACTGATACAACATATCTGGAGAACTTTTCAGCTGTCTGAAATCAGATTCAAGTTGGAACGAGTTGGCAGGAATTGGAGGTAGAACAGTTGCGACAAACTGAGCAGGGGTTTGTTCCACCTTTGTAGAAATCTTCTCACTGGAAGACTGACATTCATCCTGTTTCAAATTGACTTGTGGTCTGAAATATTTCAGGGGCATCAGTCAATCAGTGGGAAAAAGAACCATAACAACTAAAGCTCAAAAAAGGAAATAGCAACAGAGATTTTAAATTTCTAACTTTATTAATATTCTGTCATTTATTTGTATTTGAAAGTGCACACACACACATATTTTGGGGTAAAACAGACTACACCCTTGAAAATTCTCAAATTCTGGCTACTGGATGACTATTCTCCATTGGGGGCTAGCATGGCCCTCTTTGAGCATACCATCTCATACCACTCTGTGTCACATACACTCACAACTCAGCCTTCTGGAAATGCAAATTAAGAGTTTCAATGTATTTCAAGAAGGAAGTACTGTTTCTTCCTTTAAAAAGAAAAAGTTTCTTGGGCCAGGGATTTAGCTCAGTGGTTCCGGCGCATGCCTCGCAAGCGCAAGGTCCCAAGCTCAACCCCCGGTACCAAAAAAAAAAGTTTCCCATTTAAGATTTTCCCACAATCCACACTATCACTTTAAATAAAACTACCACAGTACTTAAGTTCAAAGCTTAAAATTTTTTTTCTAAACTTTTCAGAGTTTGTCGAGTGGCAATGTAAAAACTGTGTCTGACTATATGTAAAACTAACCAATAGCCCAAAGCAAACCTAGTCTACATTTTCTGTATTTTCATCAGTAAGGAAGCACATATGAACAAGTTTTTTTAAAAATTCCAAACAGTATTTAAAAAGTGCCCCAACAGTCTCCAAAACCAATGGATGGAACAATGGTAATGTCTAAATTCTACATTTTTATGAAGCTTCCTTTTAAAAACTAATTTTTTGCTAAAGTAAATAAGAAAACATTCTGAAGTTCTAAAGAAAATTAACAAAATCAATTTGATCAAGATGCTTATCATCTCTAAATCATCTCTGTATTGGCCACTATAGTAAGGAGATAAAGATTACTCCTTAAGCAAAATCTCACAGGAGGTACACATATAAAAGAAAACTGAAAACGTGAAGCTAGGCAGTTCAAAATACGCTCAGAACAAATCAGAAGTCTTCTCAGTAATACTAAATTTCTAGTGGAATTATCATCATTATATATAGGTGATTATCAAAAACAGTATTTCCACTCACTGCAGAGCTGAAGTATCACTAATTTCTTCTATTTTCAATACTTTTGCTCTTGGAGTATCACTTGAGGGCAAAAGGTCATCTTGGCCGGAACTCTTCTTACTTGCAGTGGCTGTGGCTGCTATTCTATTTGCTAGATTAACACAATTACTCTCTGGAGCAGCAGCAGTAGTGCTGTCTGGCACATCAATAGTCTGTATCAAATTACCAGTCTCTTCAATAATAACCTTCTTGAGTGGTTTCTAAAACAATTAAAATCAATTCTTTAAATTAACATGTTAAAGGTTTTCCATTTTAGGGTCACAAGTTAAAAGGATGCTGTGTTCTTAAAGCTAATATCCCAGTCATCAGTAAATTCAATTTAGTGGCTAGACCGAATTAAAAATTATCCTCTGTCTGAGAATACAAATAAAAAGCTATGCACCTATTCTAGGCAGGTCTAAATGGGGAAGACAGATAGTACACATTAGTGATTATGAGGCAATGGATGTACATGAAGCATGAAAGCCCAAAGTGCCAAAAGAACTCAGGAAGGAGGTACGCTCGGACACCAGGGAAGCACTCACAGAAAAGGCACATGAGACTGACAAGGTGGAAGGCTGCAGTGGGGTCCATGGGCAGAGAATGGGCACAGTGGCACAAGGGGAGGAGTGGTGTAGACAGGCCCAAAAGGCTATCTGAAGGCAACTTATACAAGGACCTGCATCCCCTGTCAAGGAGTTAGGACTTTATCCTAGAGGCAGAACAGCAAAAGAAAAATGACCACACCAGCAACACTACTGCGAGCTAATAGAAGGCAAGCAGAACAAGGGCAGACTAAGGACAGACAATAGCTGGTATTGTGTATGACAGAGTAACCTGAAAACCTAAGCACATTCTCTAAATGTGTAGCAGCTAGATAAACCAGCCCAGGATCACAGATTCACCAAATAATATTTACAAAGTTGGTTTTCCAATTTAATAGAATAAAGGGCATTCACTGTTTACTTCAAGCATTATAAGTACCAAATATTTTCCATTTCTTAAGTTTATAATATTCATTTATATTTAATAACTCATAACAGAAATGCACCGAGAAACTACTGTTCCATTACAGGTGTTGAAATGAAAAAAGAAAAGCTCCTTCTAGAATTTGCAAATATTGGTAACAGCTATAGCTTTGTGACAGAAGTGTGAGTTTACTTTGCTTACTTATGTACAGTATATGTGCAAAATCTGATTTTAAAAAGATATAATAAAACCTTTTCTTAATGTACTCTTAAGTGTTCATTCCAAATGCACAGCTAAACTATAAGTCAAAAGTTATAACTGTAAAAACTTCTGACATACATATTAAACTCAATATTAAAACCATTCTATTAATATGGTAAAGGTAAGATTGAAGGATAACAACACAGTGTTACTGGATAAACATACAAAAATGAAAAAGCTAAAAGCAAATTAGTAAAAGAGCCCTGTCAACCATTCCATTTTAAAGAATAATGTTAAGGGCTTTGCTTTGCTTAACAACTCCTAACAGCCAGTTTTATCAAGATATTGACCAAGAATGGACATATGCTCGTGTTAAAAATAACAGACAATAATTTCTGACAAGCAAAAATATGAATTAAATTAATGTGGTTGCACTGAAAACCAAATCTTCTCACTGACAAGAGATGTGTAATATGAGCCTAATTAAGGTATTTCCTCACAGATGGTCTCTATCAAGTCCAGCTCAGTGGGAACTAAGTCAGTGCAGGCCACTGATGACTGCAAGAACAGGAATAAACCATAAAAGAAAAAAATTGAAAAAAATACAAAAGATATTCTTTTCCTTCTTTCTGTAGCCTTCTTTCTTTCCTGACAATTATTCCTAATGAACAAGTGGTCTCAAAAATATGTGACTAAAGAGGAAATTAACATTTGTTTTACCTGGAATTACCTGAAATTAGCATCTATGCACTGACTGCCTTTGATATACACTTATCAGTGAGGTAAAGTCAATTTTAGGAGAAACGGTAAGGCTAACACAGAGAATGGGTAATCTGCTCAACATTTCAAAGTTTACAAAGTAGGAATAAAACCAAGTCTCAAAGGCATTATACCAAAGTTCTTCCTTTTATTTTTTTTTTAAATAATGCCCACTTTTTTTCACAAAAGTAAATTATAAAAATAAGCTGCATTTCTTTTCCCCTCAGTAGAAGACTAATTTTGTTTTTGTTGGATACTCTACAGAATAGATTACTCCTGGGTCACTTCTTTCATAGAGGTTTCAAGGTACTGCCACAGAAAAATTCATGCAGCATTTTCATAACTACCAATATAAACTGATTTTTGTTCGTTTGTTGTTTGGTACCAGGGATCGAACTCGGGACCTTGCACTTGCAAGGCAGGTGCCAAAACCACTGAGCTAAATCCCCGGCCCATAAATTGATTTTTAAAGTGAAGAAGAGGGGAATTCAACCAATTTGCAAAAGCTACTTAGGGTATACTGGTCACAGGACATTACATTTACCGATATTTGATATGCCACATAGCAATGTCTTTATTATGTATCATAGTTTATGTCCAACAAAAGCTTTCTGTAAACTTGTGAATTAATCTTTTGTAAAATGTCTTACAAAGATGTTAATAGTTTAAATCACACTTAGCTGGACAAAGTGGTGCATCCCTGTAATCCCAGCACTCAGGAGGCTGAGGCAGGAGGATTGCTGTGAGTTCAAGGCCAGCCTGAACTACATAGTGAGACCCTGTCTCAAAAAGCCAAACATAAATCAGTATTATCCCAGAAAATCCAAGAATATAGTCACAGTAGGAACAGTGGGAAAGTACCAACCTAAAGGATCTTCTGTCTGCTATTAAAGTGAAATACGAACATAGCAAAACAGACTTCCTTTATCTCATTTTCAGCCTTTATAAAAAGATAAAAATACCTGTTCTGGTTTCCTTACACAACTGTTATTTCTACCAAAGACTCATCCAGGCATGACAGTTACGTATTTCAGGGGGGCATGGAGAAGATCTTGATCAGTGGACACACAGGAAGGTTTTGGGGAAAAAATAACTTCCAATTTTCTGATCTGGTTGATAGTTTTGTGGGTGTTCATTATTATTCACTTTATTCTTTAAACCTTAATCTGTCTTATGTATTGTTCTCCACTGTTTATTATATATAAATGTTAGAGAATGCCAATCACATAAAATATATATTTCCCTTAAATGAATTCAACTTCAGATGTTCAAAACTGCTAAATTCATACCAGCTAATCTTTCTGTTCCAATATTTCAAGAAAAAAAACTACTTGCTGAACTTAATGATAAATACTACAGTATGCCCCAAACTAGGATAATTTTGCCTATTCTAGATTTTGCCTTATGTGCTGAAGTTAGAGCCAATCCCTCATAAGACCTAACGCTGATGTAATAAGAAGCCAGCTCTAGAAAGAACAGCAATAAAAATTTAAAAACACTTGATTACTACAGTGTATAACTGCTTCAAATTCCTTTATGTAAGAAAAATATGTAGAAACTCCTTAATGAAATATTAAGTTACTCCAGAAACCTAAACAGCTGAATTTTTCCTAATTTTATCATGTCAGTAATCCTAGGAAGCATTTCTTTTTCTTTTTTTTTAATTAAGGCCCACTAGTTTTAACAGAATATTGGGGTTTTGTTTTGGCATATTTATACATACACGAAGGAAGCATTTCTTAAAAACTGTAAAATAGCCCCACGAAGAGCTTTAACATTTCTTGAAGACTTTAATAATTCAACAGTTTGTTTCCAATTCTATTACAATAATACTGATATTAGCTGGGTGTGGTATGCATGCCTGTAATCCAGCAGCCTGTAATCCAGCATTCTGGAAGCTGAAGCAGGAGGACTGCCATGAGTTCAAGGTCAGCTTAGGGTACATAGTGAGACTCTTGTCTCAGAAAACAAAACAAACTCTGATATTTAAATGTCAAAGAACAAATAAAGTTCTCTACTTACAGCTGATCCGAGATGAGGTGGGTTATCAATGGGTTTTACCAAATTTTGTCTTTGCGTGGAATCAAGAAAAACATCATCCCAGTGTCCTTTCTCAATTAATTCCTTAAAAATAAATTTGTAATCATAACTATCAAAATATTCTCAACTTAATTATCTTTTGGAACACATGACCATATTTTGGCAAAAAGAATACTTTACCTTTTTAATTCTGGAAAGTTCAGTTATTGCTTGCTTGTTTCCAGGTTCCAGAAGTAGAACAGTTTCAAAATCTAAAGTGAATTTAAAAAAAAAAGGAGTTAAAATAGACATGATTCATTGAGCTAATTATCCCATTTTTACCTCACAAACTTTTACTCAAGAGCTCAGTCTGGCCAGCCTGAACTACACACTAGGAAATAGGTGAGTGATAATAAAAACTAACATTTCATAGGTGCTATTGTAGTTGTTGGTTGTTTTTATTTCTGTCTTTGGTGATTCTAAGGACTGAACTCTGTGAATACTAAGGTCCATCTCCAGCCCTTTCTAGTTTTTCTTTTGAAACAAATTTTTATTAAGTTGTCCAGGGTTTCGTCAAACTTAAAATCTTCCTGCCTCAGCTTCCTGAGTAATTGAGATTCTAAGAGCGTACCACCATGCTAAGAGTGTACACCCTCTAGTTGTTTTATATGAATTTTCATGTAAATGTCACTACAACCTCATTTTACAAATGACAAAATTGAGGCCTAGAGCTCATCTAACATACCAAATCTCACACTGTTTATTTGTTTGTTTGTTTTTTGGTACCAGGGATCGAACTTGGGACCTTGCGCTTTCGAGGCAGGTGGTGGAACCACTGAGCTAAATCCTGGCCCTTTCACACTGTTAATAGATAACACATCAACTCATCAAACATAAGACAGAATGTAAGAGAATTTATACACTGGAATGTTATGTAGCCTTAAAAAGGGATAAATTATGGTACATGCTACAACATGGATAAACCTTGAAAACATGCTAAGTTAAACAAAAGCCACAAAAGGATAAATACTGTTATGATTCTACTTATATGGGATATTTAAAATAAACAAATTCAAACAGACAGAAAGTAGAATGGTAGTAAGAGGTAGGGGAAAGGGAAAATGGAGATTTTATGGGTACAGAGTTTTAGAACGGGACACTGACAAAGTTCTAGAGATGGGCAGTGGTGATAGTTACACAATGCTGTAGTATACTTGATACCAAAGTATACACTCAATTAAAATAGTAAATGTAATGTTACATATATTTTACCACAATTTTTAAAAAGTCAAGGGCTACAGCTATAGCTAGTCTTGGAGAGAAACAACCAGGTTTAAATGCATATATCAGAAGAGAGGCTGAAAATCAATTATGTAAACACCGATCACAAGAAGTTAGAAAAATAGTAAATTAAACCCAAAGAAGAAGGAACAAAATACAGAGCAGAAACAAATGAAAGAAAATAGACACAGCAGAGCCTAGTCAGTTCTTGGAAAAGACATGAGTATCTAAAAGACAAGATCATAGGAAAAATAAGAGGAAAAAAAAACCATCTAGAATAAAAAGACATGACTACATATAGAGTCACATTATCCTCTGATTTCTTCCATTTTCATTCTTGCCTTTTCCTGGCTTTTCTTTCTTGTCTCTAATTTAAATTTCCCTCAGTTGACTGGCAGTTAGTCAGAGTGAACCATAAAGATAAGCATGTGCCCTATGAAAGATATGGTCCTTCACACCTTCTCACAATCAAAACCACACAGAGAAAGCGTACTTCTCCAGGTTCAGTATTCCTGAGTCATGGAAGAGCTATGTAAATTAAATCTCTGCTTCTAAACCATGGGAATCTCATCAGACAGTGTGACAGTTATTTTACCTTGTTTGGCTTCATTTATCTTTCCCAAAAATGTTCTTGCAGTCCCTCTTCTGGCAAAAGCTTTAGAATAAGAGCCATCTAATGAAATAGCTTGTGTGCAGTCTCTTTCAGCTTCTTCATATCTATTGAACATGAGAAAATTACCAACAGAAAAAAATGCAGCATACAGAAAAACTTCATGTAAGCCGAGTTTCTAATTTTAAAAGCATGTATATAATTTCAGTTACCAACTCCCAAATCTGTGTTTAAGGGATAAGACTATTTTTTAAAAATTTTTCATTCTCACTAAATCTTAGAACCATCTGGTAAGGAAGGAGAAAATTAAGGGAAAGTGAACAAAGAGTCTATAGAAAGGATGGAATTCATGTTGGTAAAATATAAGTAGAAGAGACAAAAGAATACTACTGTTGACAAGTCATTTCCTTTCCCACCTCAAATGCACAAGTACTATAGTAGAATTATAACTGACATTAGTTTTGCAATAAAGTTTTATTCACATTCATAGTATATATCACTTAAGGAAAAACAACCCACAAAAAATTAAGGATCCATTATGTATGTGATGCATATTATCTAATAATCTGCATAAATACTACTCCACCATGCAGCTGGCAATCATTCAGATTGGGTACTGTTCTATGATCACAAAGAGCTAAGAAGAGCTCTTACACACACACATGCACCAAAAAGCATTCTTCAGACCCTCCATTACATTAAAATAACATTACTGAATTACTGCTAATTTATTAGGAGTGATAATGATATTGTGATTATATATGAAATGTAATTTTCTTTAAAGATGAAATATCACAATGTCTAAGGGCTTAAAAAAATATGACAAAAAGACATGACTTGTTAAAACTAGGTGGATGCTTGGACTTATATACTAGTTTCACAAAAGTCTGAAATTCTTCAAGAATATTTTTGACAGCTGGACCTGGTGGCACATGCCTGTAATTTCAACACTTCAGAGACTGAGGCAGGAGGATCGCTGTGAGTTCAAGGCCAGTCTGGGCTACACAGTGAGTTCAAAGCCAGTTTTAGCAAGACTGTCTCAAAAAACCAAAAAAAAATTTTTTTGAAATGACCTTATGAACAAAATCAGAATTTCTAATGAATTTAAACATCTCTGACATCCTTTTGCTTTTCAAGAAACTTATGGTAAGTTTCCATTCTGAAAAGCATTAAAATGTAACCAATACTTACTTCTGAATCTTCAGATAGGCCATTGCTCTGTTAGCTGGAAGAAGGGCATTAGCGCCATCTGCTGCTATCCCTCTAGTATAGCATTCAATTGCTCTCTCATATTTCCCCTCTTTGAAAAATCCATTCCCCTATCATTTCAGGGAGAAATGCAGAAAACATTATCAAAACACATGCAGAAAAATCCTCTGAATTCAAATCTTAGGAAATTCTACAAAGATAGTGATAAATATCATGTCAGTAATTATATTTTAATTGTTAAAAATCTAATGTATGAGAGATTGTTTTAGAATCTGCTAGTGTGGGTTTTTATAGTGTTATTCTTTCCAGCACCAAAAAGAACAATAATGTGTATTACTTTGCAGAATTCATCATAATTCTAATTAAATATTATGCAAACCTAGTAAATATTATGCAAACCTTACATTTAAAACCCATTTTAGCCACTGTAATGGTGCATGCCTGTGATCCCAGAAGTCTGGACACTGAGGCAGGAGGATCACAAGTTCGTGCCCAGCCCAAGCGATTTAGCAAGATCCTGACTCAAAATTTTTTTTAAAAACTTTTTTTTTTAATCTAAAAAGGACGGGAGATATAGCTCAGCACAAAGGCTCTTGGTTTGATATCTAATGCCAAAAAAAACCTACATATATTTTAATAAAGGCCCAAATATTATACTAAGTATTTACTTACAATAGAGACTACATGAAACTATATAAAAGAATTTCATACCTCAAATAACTTTTGTAAAAGAACACAGTAGCAGAATTGTAGAGCCCATGCTTCAATAACATTACTATGCCTAAATATAGAATAAATTAAAGTATACTGGAATGTAATATTTATAATCATTTAGATAATAACACAATCATTCCATAAGTATTCATTAGGAATCCTCTACAGGCTATGAAATACTAGCCAGGAGTGGTGGTGCAAGCCTGTAATACTAGCATTCAGAAGGCAAAGACAAGAGGATCACCACGAGTTCAAGGACAGCCTGAACTACAAAGTGAGACCCCGTCTCATAAATAAATCAATTTTCCCAACACAAGATTTGTAAAGCAATTTCAGTCAGAAATAATCCTGTGCGAACTTATGAAATAAACCTAAGAATAACTATAGTTTGTATCTGTGTTAAACTTATAACTACAAATATGTTAAAACACTTAAAAGTAGTCTGTTTCCAAAACCTAAATATTTCTAAAAAAAATTTTTTTTTGGTACCAGGGATCAAACTCAGGATCTTGTGCTTGTGAGGCAGGCAGCGGCACCACTGAGCTAAATCCCCGGCCCTCTAAAATTATTTTTTAATTTATGTATTGTCATCAATTAGTCAAATTTTAAATCAGTGGGATCCAGAGATTTTAGTATATTTAACTTCCAGTTCCACCTCAAGAAAAATTTTAATATTAGAGAAGACAGAAACTTAACTAACATACAAGAAACTATAAGTAAACACTTAGAAAAATATATAGATCATATTTTGGAATGCTTTTGGAGTACCAGATCTTTCTCTGAAATAGCTTGCTGCTTGATCTGCTGTTCTGCAATTTGTTTCTTCTCTCCTTCAGTTGATTTAATCACTATAGCAGCTTCCTTTGGATAGTTTTCTTTGGATGTTAAAGCCTAGGAAACATAGCAACCAACTAAAATAAAACAAGTAATGAGAAATGAATACATATTTGGTTTTAAAATTAAATTATTCAAATATGTTAAAATTCATGCCACATTCAAATAATTAAAATAACATTTTCTACCTTAATTCAGTCTTCCTACTTATTGAAGTAAAACCCCACACACAGTCAGGCATGGTGGTGCACATCTGTAATTCCACCTACCTGGGAGGCTAAAACAGGATGATCCTAAGTGCAAGATCAGCTTGGACACCTTTGCCAGACCCTATCTCAAAATAAAATTTTAAAGATGGCTGCAGATGTAATTCAACAGTAGGGCACTTGCCTAGCATGCACAAGGACCTCAGTTCAATCCCCAGCACTGGGGAAAAGTGCTACATGTTATATATATATAAAAAATTTAATGTGCTTTTGATTCCAATTAAAGTAAGTACTGCCTACTAAAGGTCAATGTTCATTTATTTATTTATTCATTCTATATTTACTGAATTTTCAAGCAGACAAAGTACTGCTTTAGGAAATCTTTTCAAACATCACCAAATTCTCAAATTTAATATTTAGTCATTATTTGGCTTAAGACAATATACAAAAAATAGACAATATAACGCAGTTCACAATTCTAATGAAGTTGATATACTGACCAAGAGATTTTATGTATGGTTAAGTAATGGTAATTTTAAAAGCAGACTTTCCCCAATCAATGCCATTTTTTTTTTCAATGTTTCAAAAATGGTAAAACAATTACTACTTTGATTCAAAGGCAAAGTGAGAGAAATATGTTAACTGCTCAGTATCATTACATAAATCAAAGAAAATGCACAATCAAAGCACATGTCAAAAGTGAAAAATCAGGGAAATAAAGAAAAAATAATTCTGTCAGACAAAGAAAAGCACCAATAGTTCTAGACTTTTTTAGATGATAAGGATAAATACCATTATACTGCTTCTAACTTGCAATATCAATTGGTAAAATTCTATAGTACAAAGAAAACAAATTAGACAACCTCTTTATTATCGTACAAATCTCCATGAAAAGCTTTAAATTCATTAAATAAAGGTCATATATAATTCCCTTAAATAGCTATAGTTTACCTGGTTGATTTTCCTGAGTTCATTTGTTGCTTCAAAATTATTTGGTTCCAGTTCTAATACTTTTTCATAATCTAAGTAAAATATGGTAAGAAATTTTAAAAAGGTAGATACTTAAAATACTTGTGCAAAACACTAATCATCATCTGTTGCATGTAATATATAGGGCTCTGTAATACAGCAAAATGAAGAAAGAACTAAGAAATATTAACATTGTTTCTTCATCCTCCCCCAGGGCAGACAAAATCCTAACAGAATCCTATAACAAATCACTTCCACCAGCTTCTGTCAAGAGGTACATATCATTAAACCAAGAAGAAGCAAAATCTATTAAATATTAGCTTTATTCATATTTTTTAATTTATACTGCAGAAACCTATTTTTACAGAACAGAAAGAATAGAACTTACAAATAAAAACATCAGAGCTTTAAACACACTTTCTCTTGCCCTACAACAGCCAGTAAGATATTTTAATCTCTATTTTACAGATGAGAAACTGAAAACCAGAGAAGCTATCGGTCATACAGTTAGTATATGGGAGAATGATAATTTGAACCAAAGTCTTATCTGTGGCAAATCATGCATTGTTTCCCAAAACATCAAGATACCTTTTAAATACAAAAAATAAGCTTTGCCCAAATACTTTATGCAAAGGTCTCTGAAGGTAATTAACCATAATTATTCAGTATTGCATGCATACTGTCTGTTAGATTAAGCTATTAAAGAATTTTTAGATAATGATGACCTGAAAAATTATTAACTACCTTTTTTGGCATCCTCTAATTTTTGCAAAGCAAATCGAGCAGCTCCTCGTCTGGCATAAGCCTTTGCATAATTTCGATTTAAAGCAATTGCTAAATTACAATCAGACTCAGCAACAGCAAATCTGTAATGTAAAAAATTTAAACACATAAAGTTAATAAAAATCATTTATTAAACCAAAACTTCAAAATTTGTTTCTGAAATCCCTAATGCCTGGAAGGAGAATTTACTTCCCAATCATAGGCACATTTTACACTTCCTTTATTTAATTAAACTTACTAAAAGCAATAACCCTTAATGGTCAAACTTTAGTAGTTTTCATTTTAATGTGAGAAACAAGAAGACCCAATATCACTGTTTTTTTCCTAGTACTGTACTAGGGAACCTCCTTGATGCAGTTCCATGACAAAGAAATATAAGAGAAGAAAACTGGAAATGAACTGGGGTGTAGCTCCATAGCAGAGTGTTTCCTGGGATACATAAGACCCTGAGTTGAATCTTCAGCATCTTCCCCAAAATTTAAGAACAAAAAAATCCAGAAACTAGAAACATTCCTAAGATAACGACAGTTCACCGAGGTAGCTGCTTTACACATAGAACAATATCAAAAAAGAAATATAAGACACAGAGGCAAAAATTGTAAAACGATCTTCAAAGATATTAAAGAAGACTTACATGGAGCTACTTCACACTTCTGTATTATAAGACACAATAGATAACAATTTTAATTATAATCCTCTCCAAACTGATCTATAAATCTCATTCAATTCCAATCAAAATCCCAACAGAATGTGTCAAGGAATTTGCTAAGATGATTGTAAAATTTATACTGATGAGCAAAATTCCAACAATACTTAAGATATTCCTAAAGAATGAGGTAGAGAATATGCCTACACTAAATATCAAGACATAATTATGATGACTTAGTAGTCAAAGAGTGTGGAATGAATGCAAGGAGGGGCAAAAGATCAAGGTAAGACATACAGATGAGAAAATGATTTGTGCAAACTTGACAGATGATAACAGTGGTGCTAAAAATCCATGAGGAGGGCTGGGGATTTAGCTTAGTGGTTTCACTGCCTGCTGCGCAAGCGCAAGGACCAGAGTTCGATCCCCGGTACCAAAAAAAAAAAAAAAAAATCCATGAGGAAAGCATGGCTATTCCATAAACAAGATGAGAATAACTGGATATTCATATGGAAAAACTATGAAACTGGAATCCTAACTCCAGCATTCAGAAGAAAATACAGAAGACTATGAGTTCAAGAAGGATAGTATACAAATTATATTTTAAAGGTGCTAGTTAATTTTAAAGATTTATCATTGAAAATGTCAATGAAATTGAAACATAATAAAATTAAGAATTCCTGTTTAGAAACAGTTATTTTATTAAATAAAGTGTTACTCAATTCTAGGAGTGAAAATAAGGCCAATAAAGAAAAGCTAAGCCACAAAAATCAGGAACAAGACAAGGATGCTCACTATCACCACTCCTGTTCAATACATTTCTGGAAACATTAGCCACAGCAATTAGAAAAGAGAAAAAAAAAGGAATAAAGATAGGAAAGGAAGAAGTTAAACTGCCATTATTTGCTGACGATATGATACTTTACATAGAAGACCCAAAAAACTCAGCCAAAAGACTTCTAAACTTAATTGACAGATTCAGTAGAGTAGCTGGATACAAGGTCAACACTCAAAAAACAACAGCCTTCTTATATACAAATAACAGAGTCACTGAGAGGGAAATTAGGGAAACAATTCCTTTTACAATAGCATCCAAAAAAATGAAGTATCTAGGAATCGATCTAACAAAGGAAGCAAAAGACCTCTACACTGAAAATTACAGCACTCTAAAAAAACAGATCAAAGAGGATACAAGGCAATGGAAAGACATCCCTTGTTCCTGGGTAGGAAGAATTAATATAGTGAAAATGGCCATACTTCCAAAACTGCTATATAGATTTAATGCAATGCCGACTGAAATTCCAATAATATATTTCACAGAACTAGAGAAAACAATCCAAAAATTCATTTGGAACCAGAAGAGACCTAGACTAGCAAAAGCAATTCTGGGCAACAGAGACATGGCAAGGGGTATCACAATCCCCAACCTGAAACTATACTACAAAGCTACTCTGATAAAACAGCATGGTACTGGCAAAGAAACAGACCCGAGGATCAGTGGAATAGATTAGAAGATGCAGAAACAATGCCAGACATACTCAGCCACCTCATCTTTGACAAAGGAGCCAACCACCCTCTTTGGAGGAAAGACAGCCTATTTAATAAATGGTGTTGGAAAAATTGGATTTCAACCTGCCAAAGATTAAAACTAGACCCATATCTATCACCATGCACTAAACTAAGATCAAAGTGGATTAAAGATCTAAATATTAAAACAGAAACACTAAACTTGCTGGAAGATAAGTTAGGTAGAACTCTTGAAGACATTGGCATAGGAAAAGACTTTATGAACAAAACCTCAGTAGCACGGGAACTAGCACAAAGAATCAACAACTGGGATCTCATCTTATTAAAAAGCTTCGGCACTGCAAGAGAAATCACTAACAGGGCTAACAGACAACCTACAATTAAGAAAAACTTTTTAGCAGCTGTACCTCAGACAAAGGACTACTATCTAGAATATATAAAGAACTGAAAAAAATCAGACCCCCCAAATTCAAAGACCCAATTCAAAAATGGGCATCTGAAATGAACAGACATTTCTCAAAGAAGTAAAAACAGCAAACAAATATATGAAAAAATGTTCAACATCACTGGTCATTCAAGAGATGCAGATGAAAACAACACTGAGATTCCACCTCACCCCAGAAGGAATGGCTGTTATCAAGAAATCAACCAATAACAAATGCTGGCGGGGATGTGGGGAGAAAGGAACCCTTCTCCATTGTTGGCGGGAGTGCAGACTGGTGCAACCACTGTGGAAATCAGTATGGAGATACCTCAGAGAACTAGGGCTAGAGGTCCCATTTGTCACAGCTATTCCCCTGCTGGGTATCTTTCCCAAAGAATTAAAAGAATCATACCACAGCAATATACGTGCACCCATGTTTATAGCGGCACAGTTTGTAATAGCTAAAGCTTGGAAACAGCCCAAGTGCCCATTAACTGGAAAATGGATAAAGAAGATGTGCATTTTTTATAAAATGGAGTACTATTCAGCCATAACGAACAACAAACTGGAGACACGTATAGCTAAATGAATGCACTGAGGCCATACTCTTAAGTGAAATAAATACGACACATGTGTAAATACCGAAGTTTCTCTAGTGTGAGAAACTGAAAGTGTAAATAAGGATGAAAATGATTAAAACAAATAATTGGTAATCTGAAATAGGAAGAAAAGGTCCAAAGGGGTAGGGGAAGTGGGAAGGGCTGGGGAAAGGAAAGGAGGGAAAGGAAAAATGATGAGAAATGGAAAAAATAGAAACAAAGTCTTTGTAAATAGGGACGGGTTGAGGGGGTGAAGGGAGCACAGGGAATGGGGAAAAAATAAGAACCAAGATACATCATGTACAGATACAAGCACCCAATGATAAATGTAAACGTACTGTATAGCTAAAATGTACCAATAAAAGAATTTAAGCTAAAAAAAAAAAAAGAAATGAAAAACTACAAATTGATCAAAGTTATAAATAAGTGACAAAAATTAGTATTTAGAACAAAGATCTTTTAAAAATCAACAGAAAAACAGCCTAACAGAAAAATGGCCCAAAAGAAACAAGTGGTGAATAAACATATAAAGATATTCAACCTATTAAAGAAATGCAAATTAGAACTCAATGAAATACCATTTTATACCTACTAGATTTAAAACAATTACGAAGCCCAATTACTGTAAACTAGTGTTGTTAAGGATTTTTGAACAGGCATTCTTATATATTGCTAGCAGGAATATAAATTTGTATAATTACCTTTGTAACAATTAGTCATCACCCTGTGGGAATACTTACATACCTATGACCCAAAACCAAGAAACATGTATAGAAATGTTCATCACATCACAATTTGAAATAAGTTAAAAAAGGATGGAAGAGAAGAAACAGGGAAAGAAAGGAATGACCCAACAATGTAGTTAATAGGAAATTGAATACATAATGGTATTTTAGAACTGTAAATAAAGGGAAAATGAGAGAGCTACAGCTATATGTAAAACAAGAATGAATCATAGAAATATTAAAAGGAATAGGCGAGCCACAAAAGACTACAAATTTATGACATATTTTAAGGCTCAAAAATAAGTCCGGCATGGTGGTGCACACCTGTAATCCCAGCACTTGGGAGGCAGAGGCAGGAGGATGGCTGAGAGTTCAAGGTCATTCTAGGCTACATAGTGAGCTCAAGGTCAACCTGAACTACACAGTGAGACTCTGTCTCAAAAAACAAAACAAAACAAAACTCAAAAATAAGCAAAGTCCTGGGCTGGGGATTTAGCTCAGTGGTTCTGCCGCCTGCCTCACAAGCACAAGGTCCAGAGTTCAATCCCCAGTACCAAATTAATAAATAGCAAAGTCCAACAAATATTATTCAGGAATATATATTTATAATAAATCTTTTCTTTTAATCAAAAGAATAACAACTTGGGCCAGGGATTTAGTTCAGTGGTTCTGGCACCTGCCTCACAAGTGCAAGGTCCCGAGTTCGATCCCCGGTACCAAAAAAAAAAGAGTAACAACTATATAAATCAAGACAGTGGTTAGCCCGTGTGCTTTTCCCCTCCCAACTTAATCTAAACTTCAGGGTGGAGAGGGCTGGCTGAGAGGCCATACTGGCTCCAGGATAATTGTAACATGGGGTAGAGGATGAGGCAGAGGGAGAAGCCCCCAACACCTGCTAGGGGTAATATTTGGGGAAGAACACAAGTTGATTTGCAGTCAAGTTGTCTGGCTGTATTTGGATCTATAACTGTACTTCAGTTGGCTCTGTGCACAAAGTCAGAAAAGTTACTGCCAGTACTTACAAACTTACAAGACTACCCAGCCAATTTGAACGTGAAGTAGCTAAAGCTGCGCAAGTACAACACGAACTAAAAGAAAAAGTACTGAATTAGCACAAAATTTAAAAACTAATGGTTAGCTGAGATAAAGATAAGGGAGAGACTATGGAAAGGTATAATCAAGGTAGCTTTAAAAATAACGCTAATATTCTGGGCCTTAAGCTGGTAAGTGGGTTTTTTTTTTTTTGGTACCGGGGATCAAACTTGGGTCCCTGCGCTTGCACAGCAGTTGGCAAAACCACTGAGCTAAATCCCTAGCAATTTTTAGGAACTCACACATATGATACATATTACAATCAATAAAAAATATTACAAAATGTAAATACCCCAATTTATGAAGATATTAATATATTTCAAAGGCCTAAATATATGTTATTTAAATAGTAAAAATTCAGAATATAACAAGAGTGTCTTGCTTCATATTTGTGTTTTAAAAGCTCTTATGATAGGTTAGTTGCTTGAACCTAACACATTTATATTGCTTAATATTTAATATGCACTTAAAGAGTCAGTATGACTTAAAGGTAAATAAATGTTGAAACATATTTTTTTTTTGGTACCAGGGATCAAACTCAGGACCTTGTGCTTGCGAAGCAGGAATGGTGGCACTGAGCTAAATCCCCGGCCCTTGAAACATATTTTAAGTGTACCATAATAAAAGTTTTCTACACTAAACAGTAGATAAGTGGCTTTTTCAAATAATGGAAAGAAATTAACTTCTAAAACTTTTTACCCCAAAAAAATAAAAAATAAAAAAATAAAACTTTTTACCCAACTAATCTTTTCCCTTTATGAATTAGAAAAAGAACAGTTATTCAACTTTCATATCTTACTACAGTAAGCTACGGGAACATGGTTTAAGTATGTTTACAATGGCTTAAATTAAAATAATAAAAGGGTGTAAGCTATAAAAATTTACAGTGGGAAAAAATGCAATATATTTTCAATCTCTTCCACATACAGTACTTTATTATGAAAGACTTTAAAAAGTCAGTCTTTATATACATATAAGCCATTCACACAAGATGGAAAACCCTTACTTTTTCAATCTAAAGTAGGTCGATGCTCTGTTTGTTGGCAGCACAGGATTATATGGATCAGCATCCATGCCTTTGGTATAGCATTCCACTGCTTCATCATATTTTCCTTGTTTAAAGAATTTATTGCCCTGAAAGAAATGAGATTGAAATAAAATGGTCTTTTTACAAGGCTGAAATTCACTATATAGTCATTGTAAGCACACAACCCAAAAGCCCTGGCACAAAAACAAGTATAATACCTAGCATTAGCCTTTTACTGTCAATACCAACCCACAGAGACATAACAGACATAAAGAAGAAGTTTAGAAAAAAATTCCACCTTTTTGTAAAACAATATAGCTGATTTTATGGCAATAAGGTTTCTCTTAAAGAGATGCTTGAACACTCTAAAAGAAATCAAAAATGGCCTATGATATAGAGTAGAATATAATACTTATGTCAAGAATCACATACTGACTTCAAGTTACTTGTGTCTACTACCAAAAACTCTGGAACAACTCCAGGCACAATACAAGTACTGTGTATGTAATAATTCATTTAATACTCACAACCCATTGAAATATAGTATTATTAATCTAATTTGACAAATAAACAGGTACAGGCCATATAAAGAACTTGTCACGAACTGGAACCAGGCAATTAATCTGTCTCCAGAGTATGTACCCCTAACCAAGATGCAATGCTTCCTCCCACAGGACATCACCAATGATCACTTAAAAGTCTCAGCACCTCCTAAACTACGTATGTTGAAGAAATTTCAGAACTCACAGATTTTCTACATATCCTTCCTACCGGAAGGAACCTAAAACTAACTGAAAAAGTACCTTTTCTTTTAGAGTAAGAGCCTTCTGTGAATCTACATGAATCCCATCTTCTTCTGACTCCGACTCCTGAGACACAGAATCGTGGTTACTGTCTTCTTTATCAAGCTCATCAAGAATACTGTCCTGATAAGCAAGAGAACAGTGTTACATGACCATTCGGAGAAATATACTGAACACACTTACATCGGTTATAATCTAAGGGCCTAAAGGTCTATTTAAGAAGCAATCTGAAAAAAGCCTCTTATTGTTATTACATCAAGAGAAAAAAATGCCCTTGTTTAGAAAACCAAGATTTAAGCCACTTATAGAATCTGACTTTGAACTCTTAAAGTAAACTAAACCAATAGTCTACAAATCATCTCTAAATCACAAATTCTTAAGAGTGAGATATTATGGCTGAATATAAGAGAAGCTGCAAGTAACCTTAAATTAATATAACACCTGATAACAGACAACAGTTTTTTAAAGTTTTTTTTTTCTTATTTTACTCACAATAGAAATTGCTTGAACACAATTCCTGATCCTCACAACCTATAAGGTAGATACAATTACCCACGTTTTTCACATGAGGAAACTTAAAACACTCAAGTTAGGTACCTCACTCAAGGCCACTCAGCTAGTAGTGATTGAGTCCGTCTTCTCTGGAGAGCTCTCCCTCACTTATATGTTACACTGTTTTTCAGTACATTCGAAATACAACTGACTCTACCAAGAAAACATATTACAAACATGCTAGTATAGCAATTCCCAAGCTCGTTTGACTCATACTTCTTTCATGATAATAAATAATTTTTTTTTCGGTACCAGGGATTTAACTCAGGATCTTGTGCTTAGGAGGCAAGCATGGCACCACTGAGCTAAATCACCAACCTGATAATAATTTTATACACTGTCACGATTTTTCTAAATCTTATTTTTATCATACATGATAAAGAATGGTCTTCATCCTTTTGCACCTCATGTTCCAATTTTGGAACTCCCTTAACAGCCAAACATAATAAAATTTTTTCTCTTCAATTTTTTTTTTTTTTGAGACAGGGTCTCACTTTGTAGTTCAGGCTGGCCTTGAACTCGTGGCAATCCTCCTGCCTCAGCCTCCCAAGTACCGGGACCTCTTCAAATTCTTGTTCCTTGAATTTTTCTAGGTAACATGAATTTCGTGTAAAAACTCGAAAAATTGCAATCTTCAGCATAAATGGGTGAATAAGCTAAATTTTTAATATTTTTATTTTTAATTGATACATAATTGATCATACTTAAGGGGTACAATGTGACTTTTACTGAATGGACACTAAAACAGATTGAGGGCCGGGGATTTAGCTCAGTGGTTCCGCCGCCTGCCTCACCAGCGCAAGGTCCCTAGCTCGATCCCCGGTACCAAAAAAAAAGACCACAGATTGAAATTCAGCTGTGTTTTAGCACAAAGATTCTAGCAATACCATAACCCTATCAATATGGTAGCCAATATTATCCAGCCCTGCTATGCCTGCATGCGTAGAAAATGTGACAGCAGGTTATTAAAGCAACAGCTCAGATCTGAACTATAACAATGGTAAGCAAAAACCTATGTCTTCTACAGACACACTCAAATGACAACTACAAACAATACAGTACAATCAGGATGGCATCATCTACACACAGTGGGAGCTAGAATGAATAAATGACTATGTAGGAAGCATTTCTACATGAATTCATCTGAGATGGTGTCTTTCAGGAATTGGGCACTGTAAGAAAACAATAACTTATGAAAAGTAATGGGTTATATAGTAAAAGGTAACATCACACACAAAAAAGACTATATAATACTCAATTAAGAATAAATTTCATGGGCCGGGGATTTAGCTCAGTGGTTTCGCCGCCTGCTGCACAAGCGCAAGGACCCAAGTTCAATCCCCAGAACCACAAAAAAAAAAAAAAAAAGAGAATAAATTTTATGGCCAGGGATTTAGCTCAGTGGTTCCAACACCAGCCTCGCAAGTGCAAGGTCTCGAGTTCAACAACAAAAAAAAAAAGAATAAATTTTATGTTCAGAACATATCACTTCCAACAGCAATAAATTCAAGACCCAAAATTATACTTTTTCTTATACTGGGATAATACTGAAGCAGACGGCAAACTATTCAAATAGAGACAGCTCTCTTGAATCAACTACCTTGGTTTCATTAGGAAAAATCCAACACAACTAATGTGGAAAACAGTTATCTCCTAAAGCTAAATATACATATCCAGTGATGGCAAACCTTTTAGAGCTTTCAATGGTAACACACAGCCTGCTGTGGCATGTGTTCCATAGGATCACCACCACTGGTGTAAGCTATGACCCAGCCCAGGCCCTCTCACTTGGGCACTAATCTCCACCCAAAGACTAGTTCAAGAATGTTCACTGCAGGTATATTCACAGCAACTCCAAACTGTAAATAGCCCACATGTATATCTTAATGTTTTCCAAAATATAGCTGACTCTACCAAAGAAGAAATACAGATAGCATGCTAATCTAGCGATTTCAAATCTCTTTTTGACTCACACACTCTCTTCATGGTAATAAATAATTTCACAGATCCTGTCAGTATATTTTTAATTTTATTTTCATCATATAATAAAATAATTTTCAGTAAAATATATTTAAAGCATATATTTTTGATGCACAAGTGTACATATTTAAGGGGCATAACATGACATTTCACTAAATGAACACAGTGTATAAATTGTTCAATAATTACTGATAATGAAGAGATTATGATATATTCATACAACATTGTCAGCAACGAAATAGAACAAAATATTGCCATTCAATGTGCACCAATATTAGATACTACTAGCAAATAAAGGCCCACAAGTACATACTATATAAATGCATTTATATAAAATTCCCAAACTGGCAAAACTAATCTACAGTATGAGAGGCTAGAGTAATGTTGGTGATTTTTTAATTGCAGTGGAAGTTATCCAGATCTACATGTGATAAAATGGCACAGAACTATACAAACATTGTACCAATGATGATCTCTTGGTTTTGATTCTACACTGTAGTTAAGTAAGATGTAACCAACTGCAATTCGATGTACTATTTTTGCCAGAAAGATAAAACAGGAAAAAAGGAAAGAATCCTGGCTGTCTTAAGTCACCATTCACTGAAAGAGGATTATAGAACACTAATCCAGTAATTAAATTTATTCCTCATAAGATAGTGTATGAAGATGACCATAGAACTCTACCTCACTTTTCATTTAATTTATGACTAGTAATGGCAAGAAAAAAAATATTATTTTTGGTTCTGTTTTATGCCCTACTACTGTGGATTAAACCCAGGCCTCACATCTTCTAGGCAAGTGCTCTTCCACTGAGCTACAGTCCCAGTGCCCTTGCTGCAAGGTGCTCATGCTTTCAAATTTGCAATCCTCTTCCCTCAGCTCCCAAGCAGCTGGGATTACAGGTGTCTGCCTTCATGCCCAGCTGAGAAACTGGATTCAAATATTTTGTTTTGTTCTGGCTTTTTTTTTGGTACTGGGAATCGAACTCAGGTCCTTGCGCTTGCGCAGCAGGCGGCGAAACCACTCAGCTAAATCCCTGGCCCTACTGGATTCAAATATTAAGCCAGAACAACTTACCACATCAAGTTTTGACCATGCCTCATAATCATATGATTTTATCCTGTTTTTAGTGTTTTCCTCCTTGGCTTTTTTAGAGGAATCTTTTGCTTTCCTTTTCTTCTTTTTCCTAAAATTTCCATTTCGAATAGGAGGTAAACTCTAGAAAGAAAAATAAAAAGAACACAACTTTGGGCATTCTGCTGCTAGTTTTTGTATAACTAGCAATGTTTAAACTTTTCACTGAATTACATTTTCAAGTAAGAAGTAATCTCTTAACTTAATTTTCTTTCTTTTTTGGTACCAGGGATCGAACTCAGGACCTTGCGCTTGCAAGGCAGGCACCGGAACTAATGAGCTAAATCCCCAGCCCCTCTTAACTTAATCTTCAAGTGTTTCAAAATATCAGTTTATCATGTTCACTGATAAGAATTATGCTTGAAAAGTTTAATTCATCCTTTGATGAATGTTGAATATTGTCCAGTGACAAGTATTACTTGGAAATCCTAATTATACCTTTAATTTTCAATCCTAAATTCGAACTTTAAAAACTACCTGATCGTAGTACAATGAATGAGCAGCACTTCAAACACAAATAGAAGGGACTTCACATGATTATATACAATATTAAAAATCTAGACATATTTAAACACACTGTTTTAAAAAAATGTTTGGCCAGCTGTGGTGACACAAGCACGTAATCCCAAAACTCTGGAGACAAAAACAGGAAGATCCCCATGAGTTCGAGGCTAGCCTGGGTTACACAGTAATTTCAAGGCCAGCCTGAATTACAGAATGAGACCCTGTCTCAAAAAACAAACAAAAAAGAACCACCCACATTTTTATGCCAATATTACACAGTAATATATCATTAAATATATTACTATCCACATTATTTTCATATATGGCAAACACCCCCATGTATTTCACGATGCTATTCATTTACCTTTAAGTGTCCTTTCATAACTATTCACTAAGATTTAAAACATCTCAATAGTACAATTATTACAAAGACTTTTTAAAACCGAAAATTCCTAAAAATGTTGACAGTGAAGCAAATTACTTCAATTTCAGCATTTTCACAAGAAGTTTTAAAAGCTATGCCTTCTTTTAAAATAAGTTCTACTAGCTACTAATTTAGGAATTCTTAATTTACCTCTTCAAGAACACCACTCTGTCTTCTCAGTTCCATATCCTTTTGTTTAATGTCTTTTTCCCAGTTCTCTAAATCCCTCATAAAGTCTTGTAATTCTTCTGCATTTTGCTTCACTTGTAGTTGTAATTCAACTGCTTTATTTGTTGAAGTCATTATGGTCTGCAGTTTTGAATAACAAAACTCTGAGAATTAAATAGGTTGACAAATAATCCTCAACTTACAGAGTCACTTCTCCATAAACCTGTCAAAAATTGAAAATATTTAAGTAAAAAATGTATGTAATCTACCTAACCTACTAAGTATAATTCAGCAAAAGAGTACACTAAATATCAGTTGTACCTTTATAATCACAGGGATGATTGGGAGCTACAGGCCACTGTCACCACCCAGCAAAAACTCTCGAAAGAGAGTATTGTACCATATGTTGCCAGCCAAGGAAAAGATCAAATCCAAAATTCCAAGCATGGTTTCTATTAAATCATACTGCTTCCTCACCACCATAGAGTTGAAAAATCCTAAATTGAACCTTCTTAAATCAGGGTTGGCCTGGCTTATTTCTCTGAAACCTAACTAATGATTTTTCACTACTTCATAAATGGCCAAGATACACATACAGAAGACAGCCTAGACTGATCTGAATAAAGAAAGTATCAATATAATATTTTTTAAATGAGTCAACTGTTTGCTGAATAAACATACAAGTTGTTTGGTCATCCTGGAAACACACTATGAATGAAAGCCAATGGGATAAAAAAAAAAATCACTAGAATTACCAAGTAACCCATGGTAACAGACTGGCTGCTCATCTCCAGAATTTATAAGCATATCCCAATTACTTCCTTTACTCCTTTTCCTTCTAACATTTATTGAACTTCTATATGATAGGCTCCAAATCAAGATTTAGGGATGCAAAAACAAGAAAGGCAAGGTTTCTGATCTAATGAAGGAAAAAAAAAAAATAACAGAAGTACTGAACAGCAAAATATTGTTACTCCGGGTTTCTCAATCTTGGGACTTTAAAATTTTGGACCAATTCTTTACTCAGAGGGTGCTGTCCAGTGCTCAGTAGGATGGTTGGCAATAACCCTGTCCTCTATAGAGTAGGGGCCAGGCCAGCATTATGCTTTTCCCTAGATTGTTTCCAGACATTGCCAAACAGCCCACAAAAGGCAAAAAAAAACCCTGAGCTAAACCTGTGCCTGCATTGAAGCACTCAGATGCTGTGGAATTCACCATATAGGAGAGGCATTAATCAGATGGTAGGGTTGTGGTGTCAGAGAGGAGTCCCTAAAGATATTGAAACTGCATTTAGGTTTCCAAAAGGGCCAGTCAAGTGATTAGCAGAGAGGAGTGGACAGGTAGAGTAAGAAACAATGAAGGAGAATGAGAAAATCAAAGAGGTAGATAGGGAACAGATCTTGAAATGCCAGGCCATGAGGTCTAACCTATGCTGTATTCTGAAAGCCATATGAAGGTATTCAGGTGGTAAAATAATGATTTGATGATTAGTCAGACTGAGAAGTTGGAGAGTACAGGGACTCGAATAATGTTCTTTCTAGCTTTATGGCTTGGGAGCCTAGTAAGCTTAGTGATGCCATTCTGTGTCAGGGAACACAATTTGTTTTTTTAGTTTTTGTTTTGTTTGGGGGTTTGTTTTGTTGTTTTCTGTTTTTGAGACAGGGTCTCACTATGTAGCCCAGGCTGGTCTTGAACTCAATATGTAGTCCAGGCTGGCCTTGAATTCATGGCAATCCTCCTGCCTAAGCCTTCTGGGTGCTGGGATAGCAGGTGTGTACCACCACTGGCCCAGCAGGAAATACGTACAATTTTAAAAAGAAAAAAGGGCCAGAAATTTATTTCAGTGGTTCCAGTGCCTGCCTCGCAAGCACAAGGACCCAAGTTCGATTCCTGGTACCAAAAAAACCCAAAAAATATAAGTTTTCAGAGCTGGAGGGCAAATGAACAATGAGATTGTTTCAGTTTGGGACAGGCTGAATTTGAGTGCTCATGTGACATCAGCAAGTAGCTACAAAGGACTAGAGATAAATTTGAGTGTCACCAATTGGGAGCTAGAATCATGGATTTGGACCAGGTTAGCCATTGTGACTACTGGAGGTAGAGGGAAGCTGAAAAACACTTAAGATTTAGGGAAAAGAAAAAGCAGTCCCAGCAAAGGAAAGCTAGGCAGCCCCACCTAGATAGCTGGGAGGAAATTAAGTGTGGTGTCAACAGACCACCAAAGGTAAAGGGTTCAAGAAAGTGGGAAAGGTTGGCAGTGCCAAATACCACAGAGGGCATACAGAGAAAAAACAAGTGCACTGTATTTAGCCATACAAAGGTTACTGAGAATTCCAAAGCAATTGGAAATGAGTTAAGTAAATGAGATTATATGGGATCAAACATGCATTTACCAATGTAAAATCTGCTCTTGAATCTTGTCGGAACGATCAAGGAACAAGGGGAAAGTTACAGGTAAGATGACGAGTGAAAAGGCAAGGTCCCCCAAAGCGCAGAGGGAAACTCAACCCTTAAAGGAGAGGGGAGGAAGGTAAGATAAGAAGGGATTAAAAACTTGCTTCGAATGGCTAAAAAATATTTCACTGAAGAAAGGAGGAGGAAGAGCTATCTGATAGCTCTTCTGACCCCTAGCCTCAATAATTAAACGAAGCCTAAAACTGCTTTCAGGCAGTTCCATGTTTGATTACAATATATGTGCGTCTCATTCAAAACAAAATTAGTGCAATGCTTTGCAGGGGGCGGAAAAATAGTAAAAGCACAGGAAGCTCCTGAGATGGTGTAGGGGAGGCAATTTTTTTTTTCTTTTCACCCATCCACCCAGGCCGCTCCCACGGGCACAACTGCTCCCCCACCAGCGGCAGGGCCGCGATGTGGGCTGAGATCCCGACACGCAACCAGAAACTTCCAGCATTTGGGGGAAATCACTTTCACGCCTAAGATCCGGGCGAGCCCTGGGCACCCAAGCCGAGAGGGGGCGGGCCCCTCTCCGTCCTCTCTGGAGGTGGAAGGAGGATGGCTTGGGCGTCCCCACCACGAGAAGCCCATGCCGGGGCGCATGGCGTGGGGTCCCCTCTACAAAGCAGAAAGTCCAGGCCAGGGTCTCGAGCAGCGAGCCCCTCCCGGAAACGTGCTTCCCCGGACGCCGCTACCCTGGATACCGCCGCGCCGCCGCAATGCCGCGCCTCCACTGCCCGCCTCACCCAGGCCCCTAGCGCTACCCCTCCTCTCGCTCCAGACCCACAAAGCCCTACAGCCGGCGCTGACAGCCAGGCCCGCTCACCTGTCCGGGCCGTCAACGTGGGCACCACAGCCCCTCAGACCCGCTGCGACTCCCCCGACCCCCGCCTGCACCGCCTTCCCACAAGGCACCGCGAGCCCTCGCCCCGCCCCGGGATCTCGACTCGCGCGTGCGCAGAACGCCAGACTGGGGAGCTCGGTTTGTCTGGGTACGCCGAGCTAGGTATAGACGGTGTTTTTGATAACCAAAATCTGACCTGCCTACCTTCTTCTTATAGGACTAAACTAAACATGAGAGGACTCCAAAGCTACAGTCATCCCGACTTCTTCTGATCCCCAAAACAAAAAAGGCTTAAACATTACCTTGGATTTCCTCAATTTTGTTTCTAATATTTTTCTAGCGAGATGTTGTGACCTTTATGTGATAACAGTAAGACAAAGTTATAGTTTCTCTGCCAGGCAAGAAAGGATTAATGTACACTGGTAGCCCCGGCGATTCTGTGGGATTTGTTTCCTTCTGAGTGCTTGTATTTGGCAGTCCTGCCATCTCCCTCTCTTGAACATTTTGCAAGTAAATTCTTTTTCTACGTGTATGTATCCTGAGTCTTTCTTTGACGTGTTAGTATTGGGATTTTTTGTTTGTTTTGGTACCGGGATCGAACTTGGGTCCTTGTGCTTGCAAGGCAGGCGCTGGAACCGGTGAGCTAAATCCTCGGCTGACGTGTTAGTATTAAGGTCTACCTTTAGATACACCCTGACAGAGAAGATGGAAGAGAAAGGTGTTGACACTTTTTCTTCTACCTCCTTTATGAGTGAGCCTTCTTTCATTGCCATGACAAACTTAGAAACAAAAATAATTTTAGAAATCCGTGAAAACATGTACAAAAAAAATTTTTTAATTGGATGAGCTCTATGATCGCAAAACTAGACCCAAAATTCAGATCAGTAGCTCTCAAGTTCAGCTGAACTTTCAAGTCACCCAGGGAGGTACATATACCATATATAAAGAGTCTGCCCAAAAAAGTATACACACTTCAGGAAAAGAAAACCTTGTATAAATATTTTAATACTAAGTTTATTGAGGCATCATGAGATCAATGCAAGTTACCTTTGGCCTTTACAATTACAAGAGGTACTCAAAGTGGTGGCCATCAGCTTCCAGACATTTACTGGTATGGCAAACTGCTGCTTGGGTAACCTTGATCATTGAGATTTCTGCATGTGGATTTTCGATTTTTTTCTCTTAAGGGACAGCAGTGTAGTGGGTTTTCTGTGATATATGACATTCTCTGGGTTCCCTATACAAGGGTAACACCATCTATTGAAAAACATGCTATTTTTCTTTTCCTGAAATGTGTATACATATTTTTGGTGGATATATACATATATTCACACACACTCATACAGAGAGAGGGAGAGAGAAAGAGAATTTATAGATCCCATTCCAGAGGTTCTGAGTTAATCAGTCTGGAATGTAGCCTCAGCATTTGACTTTTTAAAGAATATAGATGAACAATTCAGGCTGGGAACCACTAACCCAGGCACTACCAGTGAAAACTACCTTAGGGTCCTCCCTCCCAAGGTCATATCCTATGATTTCCCTTGTTTATAGTTGGATATCTTTGAATTTTAAAGTGGTAGTAGTCAAATCATTAAATGCATCAATCAAAATATTTACTAATGTAATGATTTAGTTGTTGCTATTGTTACTGAAACAAATAACTGTCTTTTTAAAAAATTTCTTTTGCAGTTCTGTAGGTCAAACACAGGGCCTTATATATGTAACTGGTCTTTAAGAGGTCACAATGTATTTTAATATAAATCAGTTTAAGACAGATAATGATTTATTGATATCTTAACAAAAGCAACTACATTTATTTTATTAATATTGGCAGAACTGATATAGATGATCAATAACAAGGTCAAGTGGATGCTCCAATAATACTTCATAGACCTTTGAGTGGTGAATATTCCTCTCTCTCTCTCTCTGTCTCTCTCTCTCTCTTTTCCTCTCTCCCTCCCTCCACATATTTATTAGGTTTCTTAGTAAATATAGAATCAAAGGAAGAAGAGTTAACCAAACGCTTACCTAATTCTGAGGCTCCTATTGCCTCCTTAAAAAAAATGTATGCGTATACTCTTCTCTCTTGTGAATTCAGACAACAGCCACCTTCTTTTCTAGGTGGCATTCAGCCTTTGCACTTCTATTGACAATTGTCTCCAAGTGTGTTTCAATAAGATTAATAAACCTTGCCTTCCTTTTATGTCTTTTTTATTCATTTATTTATACCAGAAGAAATCCCAGATGTCTCAATTGAACTTATTCTTAATATCTGAATAGTCATTTTCAAAGAGTTTATGTCGTTAATATGTTGAAATTATAATGGTCAGTAGAAAGAAACATATCTATCGCTGTGATAGTGAAATACTGCAATTAATCATTGTGAATGCTGTTAATTTTACATCCAAAACAATTATTCAGCTCTTTCAAAGAAGTATGGAAAGATTCTGACCATTAATATAATTCTTAAGAAAGAGGATATTAACTAAGTAACTTTAGGAAGAACATTTATGAACTTTGAGACTTCCTGTTTCAGGAATAATGTAAACTATTTGGTGCTATGTGAAAGAAAGCCCAAAATAGAAGTAGCTTAAACATGACAGAAGATTATTTTTCTCTTCTATGAGACGGAATATAAGCAATCCAAGACTGGTATGACAATCCCAATGTCCAGCCCAGGCTTCTAATACCTGACTCCTCTACCATCTTTAGCACGTGGCTTTTACTGGAGGTACCACATGCTGCTCAAGCTTCAGCAGTTTTGTCTGAAATCAAGTCAGCAGAGTCAGAAAAGAGTGGGCATGATGATACTCCCACAAAGAGAACTCCCCACCCAGAATGCTTCTACTTACGTGCCATCAGCCAGGACTTAGGCATGATGTCACCAGGAAGCCAGGTCCTGACTCTCTGAGGTAACTGCCCTCCCAAACCTCCTGGGTCTTTTTTGCCCTTAATGAAAGAATTCAGTCAAGATACATAGGCAGCAACGCAGAAGTATAGGTAGAGTTTATTATAAAGTAAATATGGAGAGATGTCTGCCTGCAAGTAACAAGGGGAAGAGCACTGAACAGGATTTTGGAAATCTTTTTATGTAACAAGAGTTACTTCTTGGACCGGGTATTTAGTTCAGTGGCGCCGCACCTGCCTCACAAGTGTAGGGTCCTGAGTTCGATTCCTAGTACCAAAAAAAAGAGTTACTCCTGAGGTTCAGGGAATTATGGTGATTATGATGCATATTAGCTTTTTTCCTTAGAACTGCAAAATGTCTTACTAGTTCTTTTCAGATGGTCAGTGTTCCCTCAAGGACCTTAATCAATAAGAAACTTATGAAGGAAAGAAAAAAATTCTAATCTAAGTCAGATTAAGCCCGAGGTAGGAGAGTCTTTAAAGAACATTTCCTTTCCTGATGTCACTGGGCCTAGGCTATGGCAGTCAGAAATGCCGCATACCTTGTTCTAGAAATACAGGACCTGTGTCTTTGGTTCTGATACCTAATAAATGATTATAAATGTATTATACATTGAGGTCTTTGTTTCTTTACTTAATTATAACTGGAAAGCATGCTATTTTGGACTCCCCCTTTGTCCCTTAGGCTGGCTAATGTCTAACTAACCCCCTAACAATATGGCCATTCCTGGCTACAAGGGAAATAGGTATTGACACATTGTGTCGCATCTGAGAGATGGATTCCAGGTTCTTGTGTACATTGAGCAAAGAATTGCAAGTGTATGTACCCAATGGTAAAAGAAAAAAGCAGCTACGTTTATTGAAGATAAGAGGAAGGTATGCTCAGAGCACGTTGATAGCAACAGAAATAAAAAAGTGGCACAAACAGAAAAAATGGTGCTAGGGTGACAGGGAAATAGGAAAAACAAAGAAAGGTCAGGTTTTCAGATTTTAAAATCTGAGGCACCCCATCCCAGGTGCCTGTCACTGGGCCTCTGGATAAGATTGCAGAAATGATTGACAGGGGTCCTGAGTCATCTCAGGGGCTCCTAACATGCATGACTCTCCCAGAATGCTCTCTGTTTTAATTACATACATGAGATGTGATCCCTGTGTATAAACTTTTGACGAAGTTCCAGAGGGGAAAAGGTTACTGACTGTCAGGCTGCATGTGCTCTGGCCTGGAGTGTTAGAAATTTCCTGTCTTTATTTTTATTTCTGCTTCTTTTGGGACAATGGAAGGAGGATTGGCCCCTAGGGTGTTGCCCAAATTCAAATTAGAGGTAGAGTGGTCTCCCAGCCCCAATTGTGCTACTTGTATTATTATTACTCTGGGTAGTCATGTGATTATCTAAAAATTGGCAATTCAGTGAATAAGGGGAGCAAAGGAGGAGCAAGATGCCGAGGGACAATCAACAGCTTCAGTCATGAGTCTTAATAAGTATTCTTAAAAGCATAAGGAATCAATAAGGGAGTGGCTTCTGCTAGAAATCCAGGCTCACTCTGGCATGAGGAAAGGGGTTGAATTTTGTCATCCTGATTCTGCTGCTTACTAAGAAAATAGGAAAATTTGTGCTTCAGATGTCTAGGTAAAATTAAAATAGTAAAGATAAAAATAGCTGCTGAATGAGAAAGTCACAGAGCTGGGTCTGATGGTCCCCAAGACTGAAATAAGCAGTTTCAGCCACTCTTTTTGTAGCAAATTCACTGACTCCCATTGATATAGGACCTTCAAGTGATATAGAGAAAATAATAGTATTATAGACAGCTAAGTTAAGTAAAAGTATTATAAGCAGTCAAATAGAGCTAAGTCCTTGAGAGAGTCAGTGCAAAAGATAAAAACACATTACAACTGTAGCCAGAAACACAAGGCCAGGCCTCAAGATAAAGACAAAATGGCCAGCCCTGCATACTTCCCGAAATGACAAGCTAAGTGATGACACCTGGCCTAAGGAAGTCTCGATAGATATCAGTCACCCTGGTGAGTGACCATGACCTCTGGACCCAGCACTTCCTAGAAAAAGTCTTTGTTCTTTCCATGTACACTTGTTATGTGACTTTTTCCCCCATTGGATCACTGTTACCTAAACGACTGTATTTGTCATCTTATCGACTGATCATGGCTTTAACCCACGTTGCACCCACATGGCTGTGCCTGATAAAACTTCCCCTGAAAAGTAGGGTCCATGGGTGGCTACCCTTTGGGGACCCCTCCTGCCTCTCAGGAGCTGTCCTCTCAATAACCATTTCCTACTCTTGGCATCTGTTGTTCCTAGAACAGAGAATTCATTCTTCAATTTTAGAGAACATGAACTTGGCCTATCAGACAGGCGTATTCACAGGTTTAGAGTTATAATATTTCCCTTATGTCGTTTGGAGGTCCTATCGCATTTTCTATGTCATCCCTGTATCAATATAACTCCCAACCTGTTAGATGTCAGATAGGCTGAGTTTGTGTTCCCCAAAACTGAAAAATGAATTGTAAGGAACGACAGAAGTCAAGAGGAGGAAATGCTTGTTGAGAGTGGGGTTTAAGCTCCTGAGAGGCAGAAGAGGCCCGAAGTGGTTTCCTGGGAGCCCCTTTACAGGGTAAGTTTTTTGGTTTTGTTTTCAGTACCTGGATTGAAATCAGGACCTTGTGCTTGCCAGGGAGGCACAGCGCCACTGAGCTACATCCCCAGCACACAGGGTAAGTTCTATAGAGCAAAATCACAAGGTGAGTACAACATGGGACAAAATTAGGATCAATCAATAAGATCACAGGTATGGCTGGTTAGGTAATATTGATCCAATGGGGAAGCAAGTCACATAGCAAGTGCACATGGAAAAAACAAAGTACGTTTTAAGGAAAGGATGGGTCCAGAGGTCTTGGTCACCCACCAGAGTGACTGATGTCTATTTAGACTTTATTGGGCCAGGTGTTATCACTTACCCCTTGGGGAAACAGGTAGGCCTGGTCATTTTGTCTTTATCTTGAGGCCTGGCTTCCAACAGATGTGCCTCCAGCCACAGTAGTAATGTGTTTCCATCTTTTGCACTGACTCTTTCAAGGGCCCAGCCATATCTGACTGCCTATAATATTTCTACCCAACTTAGTTGTCTATAATACCATCATGGGGGCACAGGGATGTAGTTCAGTGGCACTGTGCCTGCCTGGCAAGTGCAAGGTCCTGAGTTCGATCCCTGGTACTGGGTGGGGAGAGGGAGAAGAAAAATATAATACCATCAAAGAAAGAGAACTTTCAGGACACATTAGTAAGAGGCAAAAGAAGGGTTTATTAAGATGCTCTCAAGACCTGGGGATTTAGCTCAGTGGTTCCGCCGCCTGCCTTGAAAGTGCAAGGACCCAAGTTCAATCCCTGGTACCAAAAAAAAGATGCTCTCAAGAATGGAGTACAGGTGCTCAGAGAAATGAGAAATGAGATGCACTATAGTTTGGAACTGAGGACATTTATACCTGCTTAAAGGATGGAAAAGCCTGGGAAAAGGTGCCTCCCCCTCCCCAGAAGAGTTTTAGCCTTCTGTTATGAGCATTTTTAAAGTATAGGCCTTTATTTTTTAATAGATAATTTGAACATTCTTTGGGTTCCAATTCTTTGGGTTTGCTCACCCTGCCCCTTTATGTTGGGATCAGGCTCTTGTTCTTTACTTTCTCAATTAAGCCAATTTATGGATTTAAAATTCCTAAGGAATTTTGGGTGTGATGGGTCTGGTAAGGAAAAAGTTTAAATTTAACCAAAGAAATGGAGATGCGTATTGCCTTGCTAACTTTGCCTAGTTCTATCTTCTTAAAAGTACAATTTTAGTTATCATTTCATTGTCTTCTTTCTACCTATCTTTTATTTCTTCTATCCTACCTACCCCCTACCCCCACAGACTTCAGTTCTGTCAGGTAAAAGGGCCGAAGACCAAGACCAGACCAGGCCACAACCAGCCTTTATTAGAGGAATAGATCTGCCGGGCTGTCTCTGAACAAAGGAGAGACAAAAGCAATATGGCTGGGGCAGGGAGAGTCTTTTATAGGGACTGGAGTGGGGTTTGTAGGGGCTGAGGTGGGGTTGAGTGAGGTAGTGACTAGGGAATGGAGGAGCCGGTGATATCACTAGGAGGTAGGAGGTGAGCAAGTATTAGGTGACTTTCTAGGCGGGACCAGGGGCATGCTGGGAAGAAGGGTTTGTTCTTTGGTGGGAGCAACCATCTTGGCATGATGTCACACAGGGGAGGGGGCAAGGCACCATAGGAAGAGGGCAGCTACTATACATAATAGCTGCTGAGGTAGTGGGAGACCTATCAAGTTCCTTATGCAGAAGGCCTGATGTCCTGTCTTTGTGTAACTGTTTTAGGCTGAGGAGAGGCACTGACCTTGCCTAGCAAGGGACTAAAAGTCTCATGTTGACTGATCTAAAGGACTCATAGGAATATTGGGTTCTGTCTTTTGAAGAACCATCACTTTTTGATAGTCTGAAAGAGAGGGCAAGAGCATATGAGACATTAGTCCACAACAACAATGAATCATTGGCCGGGGATTTAGCTCAGTGGTTCCAGCACCTGCCTCGCAAGCACAAGGTCCCAAGTTCAATCCCTGGTACCAAAAAAAAAAAAACCACACAAACAATGAATCATGCAACATAAAAGAATTTTAGTGTACAGTATCATAGCCAGAAAAAAATGAGAACTTTTTTTCTAACAGGTTATTCCAGAGAAGCAGGATGTTACCCACTCATTGAAGTTTACGACATGACACTGCACTGATTTGTCCACATGGATTCTGTAATGCAGAAGACATATTTATAGAGTTGTTAGGAATGTACGCACAACATTCTGTTTTCATAATGGTACAGGTTCCACTTTGTGGGGCTGTTAGAATATCTAGGGCCATTCGGTTTTTCTCATTTTTACTTTTGCATTTAATGACAAAATATCCTCTGTATTGTCATTTAGAGCTTTTTTGCATTTAGTTAGTAAGAGACTCAGTGTGCCCCATTATATCTTTTCTTTTGCCTCATTATATTTTAAAATCCTATTTGGGGAATAAAGATAGCAGCCAGATGATTGGACCAGTGAAAAACTGATCTGATTTATCGGTGTCACAAGCCTGGGAGGCTGGCTGGTTGATCTTGGTTTTAACCCAGTGCCCTAGGACCCATGGGTACCATAATGTATATCTTCTTATCCACCATGGAGGCAAACAAGGCCATGGGTGTGTACCACAGAGCCACTGGGTACCGTTTGATGCTGACTGTCTTATTTCAGCTCTTGCCCTCCAGTCAGTAGCAAACAAGTCAGTGTCTCTTAACACAATAGTGTGATTACAGCTTTGGGTAGAAATCCACCCCATAATTTAGGTGGCATAGCTCCATTTATCATAAGCATGAGGGTTTTTCTTGTCCAACAAAGGGATGCTAGTTGGCTGTAGATGTGAGCCAAATATGTTTATCTCAGACCTGAAAATGTTTATCTATGAATCGATAGTCATCTTTCATCATGGTGTTACAGTTGAATGGGCCAACAATAGTCCTTGTGTATGAGGAAAAAACTGCCAAGGATACACCCAGTAGAAAGTAGTAAGCAGCTACATTTTATTGAAAATCATAGAAGTTGTGCTCAGGGCCAGTGTGTGCCAGCAAAAGTATAACACAGATCAAGAAAGGTGCCAGAGTAACAGCAAAGCACTGCACACAGGGCAAAAGTAGCAACAGCAACATGAAAGAAAGGGGGCCGATAACATGGGCTTTCAGACTTTAAAGGCCAGACACTTCTGCTTTAGGTGCCTCCCACTGAATCTCCCCTGGTGCTCTGGCATCTGTGCTATCTTGCCTAGGGCATCACTGATCTCCTAGGTTTTTGTTATTATATTTTCTACCTCTCATAAGATAATGGAAGCAGGAATAACCATTGGGTGCTGTTTAGAGTTAAATGGAAGGAAGGGAGTGACTCACTCAGCTCCATTACTTCTAACTGTACTATTCCCTCCTGTGAGAATAGTCCCCAAAAATCTTGGAGAGCAGTTGAGGGAGGAAGTTCCATCTTGTATAGTTACTTCTGGCTGAATAAAAGCTTTGGCCCTACAAACGTGGAGACCAAAAAGCCCCTCTCCCTGACTGAACTATGAGCTTAAGGGAGCTGAGCCCCTCCCCCAAAGATTTCTTGACCAACTGGCTGTGGAAGCAGGTTCTGATCTTGAGTTAGGGTCATCAGCAGTAGTTTGAAAGCTGTCAAAAAAGAAGAAATAAAATTGACTAAGAGATTAAATATGTAAGATATAAATGGTAATTTATACGAACTGTCACTGCTTGAATAATTGCCTTTGTTCAGCTTATTCGCTCCTCCTACAGCCTTTGCTTGGGACTCAAACTTCAGAGTCACTAACTCCTCTGAGTCTGCCGCCCAAATAAACCTTGGTTTACCCTCCACCTCTCCAAGTGCCACTTGGTTCTTTTGTGTGCTGTTCCTGCCATTACACTTTAGACCTATTGGCAAATGAAGTACAGTGGACCCTCAAGTTATGACCAGCCTGACATACGAACAACTTGGGTTATGACCAGAATTTTAGCTTTAACTTACAACCAAAGTCTTGAGTTCCAACCTGAATCCTGGCCACTTGTGCTTCCAGCTGGTCTCAGATGCAGATTTACTTACTTAAAGAGCTCTAGAAGGAACATTACAACATTCCTTTCCAGTGTGGGATTAACTGAGAAGTCTGATGTCTCTCTAAGGACACTGAGATTTGCCTGGAAGAAAGTGTGGCCTAAAATTATACAGGAGAATGACTTTGAAGGCAATTGAACAACTTGAGCTACAACCAGCCCTCAGGAATGAATTGAGTTTGTAAGTTAAGGGTCTATTGTACATTATCCTTTCAGGGACAAACATAGCCCCTTTGTTTTTTAGGGGCAGGTGGCCATAGGCAAGAAAAAGGTTAAAATAGCATCTCATTAAGCTTTATTAATAGAGAATCTTACTAAAAGCAGCTTCTGCCTTTACAGGTAGACTCTGCAGTTAGAGCAATTAGAAAGACAAAGGAGAGAGAAACTAGTCCCAGAAAAGTGCCAGGTAGCACAATTACCCTAAGAATTTATCAGAAAGAGTTAACAAAGCAAAGAGGGAGCCAGAAATTAAAAAAAGACCAGGGAAATCAGCCCACTCATCCACCTGATAAAATGCAAAAGGAATAAGAGGCAGTCACCTAAGGACTCTAATCTATAATACACACACACATATATATATACACTTATAATTATATTCTCTCTTTAACATTACCATACCTGCACCAGATGTCCCCTATACTTAATTTCTAACTCTAAACTGCTCATCTATGAGGCCCCCAACACACATACTTATCCATCACAAAGAGACAGGAAGGAATCCAGTGGCCAAGAAGAATGTAGACAGAGGTACCCAGAATAGCATCAAAGACAGCTAGAGAGCCAATCAGATGGCAACAACTTCCAGGTACCCGCATAGAGGATGGGAGAAATCACTAGTTCTAAACAGAAAGGTGCTGGGCCTGGGGTTTAGCTCAGTGGTTCTGGCGCCTGCCTCACAAGCACAAGGTCCTCAGTTCAATCCCTGGTACCAAAAGACAAGTAAAAGATAAAAATAAATAAATAGAAAGGTGCTAAGGGTAAAAATTGATGGGCGTTCACTTTCTGATGCTCTCTACTCTTCCAGAGTAGCTGTCTACCTTCTCTTTTTTCATCCTTTTCCAAATAAACCATCTTTCTTTATTTTTAAACTCTGCCTCATTAATTCATTACTGAAGCTGAGAGTTTATGATCCTGGAAGTTGCATGTTCCTGGTGAGGAGTGGGGTGTACATCTCACCCTACCCCAACAGTTTCATCTCTTAGGAGATCTAGTCCCCCACAATGCTGTGCAGCCACTGCTGCTAGTGAGTCTAACTGGTCTTGAAGGAAGGGAGTACTCAGCAAGTTTGTCTAGGCTCTTTCAAGCTCTTAAGTGGCTGTTGATGATAAGAGAAAGATGTGATTAGTTTTAAGGTCTCATGTAAGTAGTCATTGTTTGTTATCTCTACTAGAGGGAATTTTTGAATAATCCAGGATGATTCCAAAAGATGTCATATTATAACTTGGAATGGAGACCAAGTTAGTAGTTGTGTAGTAAATGAGACGGTAGCAAGACTACTCACACAATTTACTTAGATGAGGCAAACTTTTACTTACCTGGCTGGACAAAGTGTTTGGGTTTTCTTTTTTGAAAAGAAACTTGACAAAAAATAAAATTAAATTAAAAAAGAAAAGAAACTTGACATCTTCTACTAGTTCACGGATGTATGAAGTTCATGGTTCCTCTTTCTTGTTTTCTGCTATCTCAGATAGCTTAGGCTTTACTCTGAAGAGGTAAATCTAATTATCTATTTAATGTACCTAAACGGCAGAATAAGTGGTTAATAGAGCTGTGTAAGGGCCTTTTCATTTGGGTGTTAGTTGGTCCTGGAGTTGAAACATATCTCAGATAAGTCACCTTTTGTTGAGAAATCAGAGCCTTGTGTTGGGACACCTTACAGCCCCATTTTGCTAGAAAATTGAGAGTCTTAATAGTATTCTTATCAGATAACACCTTAGTGGGGGCTACAAATGAGGAAGTTATCTACATACTGCAATAGGCCTCCCCTTTTGAATTTTAGGTCTCCCAGACAGCTCTCCCTGGGGTGCCATCATACCATTCTTGAGGATCTACTCTCAGCAGAGACATCAGGCTCCATGGGATCAGGCTGGCTGGGTCCTAGCAAGTAGGACAAGAGTCACTAGGGTTTTGAGTACCAGAGTGACCCTAAGTAGGAATAGTATATCTCTTCCAACTATTGGTATGGGATACTCACATATCACCATAAAGGCAGCTTGGAAAAGGAAATCTTCCAAACAGCAGTTCAGAGTAGGGTAAAGAAAGCTGTCCAGTTAACTACCTCAAGGTCCACAACAACTTTAGAATGGGATGAAAGCTCACTACAATAAGAGACTAGAACTGAGTAAGTTGTCCCAGTATTACAAAGAAATACACTGTTTGCCTGCTACATCTAGAGTTAACTGAGGCTCCTGTGAATTAACTGTGGTACCCTTGTGTGGGAGCCTTGCAGGCTAGCCTCAAACACCATCACCATTTGCTGTCCAGGTATTTTCCCTGGCCATCTCAGTGAAGGATGGCCTCATCCCTGTCAGGAATGGGCACTACCTCTTCCAATGCCACAGGTCTTTTGCTATGTTCTGACAGGTCCAACAAGAGCTACGCAGTTTCTAAGGGCATTCCTTTGCCCAGTGCCCCATTTTTTTACACTGGAAGCACTGTGACTTTCTTTTATCACTCTTTGGATTACCTTGGATTTCACTAGTACTTCGGGCTTTGTCATGAACTTTATCAAATATGGTGAGCATTCCTTTAGCTTATCTCTTTCTTATCCAATTCTAGTTTGTCCTGTGTATTATCACAGTTGTTAAACACCAGACAAGCTTCATCAACCAATTGGCTTATTTCAGTTTGTGGCCCCAGCTGAGATTCTGGAGCTTTTTCCTAATATCTGGAACTGACTAATAAAATACTGTCTTAGGATAATCTGATCTTCTCTAGGCTCTCTAGACTCTGAGTCTAAATTAATATTTGAATCTGGGATCCTATGGCAGGTAGACCCAGACCTAGTAGGGTCTGGACTCAGGAGATGGCTTTTTATCACCTGAAGGTACTTACTGAGCAGGTTGATGAGGAGGTAGCCTATGGGGGTGGGGGGGCTGACATGAGGGAGGCCTCTGTAACGTCATCAGAGGACTGATTACTACTAGAGGGCCATAAAGGCTTGAATGTAAGACACCTCTGACCATTTTTCTGTCCCTTATAGTAAACATATAATTGAAATATGGCATTATATTTCTGCCTGAAGGTTGGCCACAGCTCCCCAAGTGGATATATAGGCCATTTTTGATTACACAGGAATATATGAGCCATTTGAAGGATCTTAAGGTCAAACTTTTCCCAATGGTTGAGGGTGGAATTAGAAGGAATAGATGAGGCCTTTCCCATGATGGGTCTATAGGCAGGAGAGGGAGAAACTAGATTTTGTGATGTCTAACATGTCTGTCCCTGGGTCAGTTCTCATTAGTGGGAACCTGACAGGGCATCTCCTGATAGTTCCTGAGACTTTCAGATCCAGGGATGTGACATTTTAGGTTGAATTTCTTGGGTTTAGGTCACAGAAGCCTTATAGAGCCTTTTCCTGGGTTAGTTTCTCGTGGAAACATGACAGGGCATCATCCTCTACATTATCTATAACCCTTCCAAGCTTATATCAAAGCATCCCTTCATAAAGTTGAACTCCCTGGGGCTGGATATCTCCATCCCTGCCTGGGCCCATACCACTTTCCCTTTGGCATCTTAGAATCTGCACTATGTTTACAAAGAGTCCATACACAGAGCCCAAAACTGTGGGGCTAGTTTTGAAACCACCTAATATCCTGCTTTGGAAGGGGTAGCAACTGCCTCACTCAACAAAACCCCAAACTAGAGATTTTCCTCATATGGCTCTCTGCCTCTCTCCCTGAGAAACAGGCATTTCCACTAACTGACAGTCTAAAATGAGAATAAGACCCGTCCCTAGAAAAGCTTCAAGCCATAAAGCATACACATCTGATGATGGAATCTCAAAATAAAAGTCAGGCAGGCACTATGTAAGTTCAGTTAGCAAACACAGATTACACATCTAAGGGAACAGGAACGGGAATATTACCAAAGACTCCTATAGTGGCTCTCAGTTTTCTAGGAGGCAATATAATGCAAGCTAATAAGAATAAAGACAGGGCCAGGGATTTAGCTCAGTGGTTTTGCTGCCTACTGCGCAAGCTCAAGGATCCGAGTTCGATCCCTGGTACCAAAAAAAAAAAAAAGAATAAAGACAGAAAACAAAACTTAGAGAGAAAAACTGGGTCTTGTGCTGATCTATGCTGCCCTGGGCAACAAAGACAAAGGGCTCCAAGGACATCCAGTATTTATTCACTACAAGCATGGGAAGGTGAGCAGGGTATGCTTCAAAGCCATCTAATGATATAGTATGAAACATCCGTGATGGTGCCAAGCAGAGCTGTAAAAGGGAGGAGACACTGCTTATCTTGCTTAGAGAGAACAAACAGGTACTGGGACTGAGTCACAATTAACCAGCAACACATTGGGTCAGTTAGAGGCCGTAATTCAGGAAAAGGATTTTAATTGGGGTTACACTGACTTCAGCTGCACTATAACTCACCAGAGCCCTGCCACTTCATAGACCAGGTCTTGGGCGTTAGGCAGCCATCGTGGGAGGAGCTATACTCACCAGTCTGCCATGTGACATCCCCATTTGAGTCACTTAAAGCCACAGTTATCACAATGAAAGCAAAACTGAATAGAAAAGAGAGCAAATAAGCATCTGAAAACTACTCCATGAAGTCACAGCTCTAGGCAGGCTTTAGGACCCAGATAAAATCGAGCAGCTTGGCTGCTGTTTGCCACTGGCCACCACAGGCAGAAACGGTGGGAGACAATTTTTTCTCTTCTCGTGTGGGAAGACACTGTACCTATTAACTCTGTTTTCTTAAGTTATTCAGAACCAACAACCAAACAGATTGAACACTCTGATAGCCAAAAACCTGAGGGGGTGAGAGGATCAGAAAGGGAGAAGGAAAATACTAAAACCTACAGAAGGGAAGCACTCGTCATGATACCGTAGTCAGCTAAATTAGTTGGAAAATATTATAAGGCATTTAGGCAGGGCTGGACCCTCGGCACAGAAGATGATTGTGGCTGAAGGTCCATTCACTAAAGGGCAGGCTTCAAGACAAAGAGGAATGACTGCACCCACCTACTTCCCCTAGGGATGAACAGCAGTGATTGATATTCTAAATAGGCATCAATCACCTTGGGTGGGAACCAAATTTCCCTACCCATTCCTTCCCGGAAAATCCTTGCTCATATATGCTTGCTATGTGACTTGCTTCCCCATTTGATCCTCATTTGTTCAATATTACCTAAGTGACTGCACTTGTTGCAATTTTATCGGTTGACCCATAGTTTTGTCCCACCTCATACCCACCTTGTGATTTCCCACTGGATCAGTATTATCTAAGTGACTATACTTTTAATCTTATTAGTTGACTACAGTTTTATCCCACCTTGAACCCACCTTACCTTGTGGCTTTCCTCAACAAAACACTCTTGAGAAGTGGGATTGAGGGGCAACCCACTTTCTGGGCCCCCCTTCTGTCTCTCTTAGACAGAAGCTATCATTCTCTCAATAAATTCTTCCTATTTTTAACCTCCATTTTTTCTAGAATTCATTGTTTGATTTTAAAGAACATGAACTCAGCATGCTGGACATCTAACAGGTTAGGAGCTATAATATTTCCCTTATATTATTTGGAGGTCCTTAGATCATATATGCCATGTATCAATGAGCTTATGACCCATGGGGAAGAACAAACACGCTTGGTGTTAAACAAATAGCTGTCCAAGTCCAGGGCAAGTTAGCAAGCACTCCATGGAGAAAGAAAAAAAAAGCAATTCAGGTGGGCCAGATCCATGTCTCCTGGTCCCCTGCTGTGGGAGGCTACACCAAAGCACTCACCTGCCTTCTCTGCTTGGCTCAGTTTAGGTCCATCCTCACAGAGGTGTGTGGCACAGTCTTTAAAATAGACTTTCCACATTGTGTGGATCAACAACAGGATACAAATTCAACTGATCAGCAGGGGTTCTCCTGTCTCCCATAAAGACAGAAGCCTTTTGCTCCACAATCTAGTCATTTCCACACAGTCAGCTCACTGCTTATGCCAAAACCCCAACAAATGTCTTGGTCACTTGTGAAAAGGAGACAACAAGATAAAAGGAGTTACCTTCCTTTTTGGCTGGGTGGTCCAGTTGCCCACATCTGCTGAGTTCTCTGAAGGCCTCCAAATTACTGTGCAGTGAACCCCCTTAGCTGTTCAGTCCAGTGAGGTCTCCTGAGGTCTAGTAATGTCCTCCTGGCTGGCTCACCAGATGTTACAGCTGAATGGGCCAATCATAGTCCAGGTTCTTGTGTAAAACAAGGAAAGAACTGCCCAGTGTTATGGCTTGTGTTTAGACAACCCCCGCCCCAAAGCCTCATGCTTTTTCAGAGGTGGCTGAATCTACAGTGTGTGATTGAGTCACGGTGGGGGTAGGCCCAAGGGCACTAGGATTAAGTAAGAATAAGATAAAAGGGGGCAGGAAGATGCTATTAAGGTCCTTTGTTGCTTTTGCTGTCTTTTCCTCCCCATGAACCCTTGCCCGCTGCCATGTGCCACTCTGCCTTGGAGCCAGCCGATCACAGACTAAAATGTCTACATATTGTAAGTTAAATAAAACTTTCCTCCTTTAACTGTGGGCATTGGGTATTTTGTCTCAGCAATGAAAGAAAAGTAATGACTACACCAGTATATACCTAATAGTAAGTACTAAGAAGCTACATTTATCCAAGATCATGAGAAGTTGTGCTCAGGGCCAGTCTGTGCCAACAAAGATATAACACAGACCAAGACAGGTTCCAGGGCAACAGAAAAGCACTACACACAGGTCAAAAGTAGCAACAGCAACAGAAAAAAAAAAAAGAAAAAAAAAGGTAGCCAATAACTCAGGATTTCAGAATTTAAAGGCCAGAAACGTTTTTTTAGGCACTATTTTTTACTTTAATATGCACATTTAAGCAACTACCTCACCAATAGGACCTCTGCTAAAGCTGTTATCAATAAGATCTTTAACAAAGTTAACGTAACACAAGTAAATTCCAGAGAACTATATTTTATGACTATTGATCTTTGGCACACTTGTCAACTTGGAGAATCTCAAAAGGCAATATAATTTCTGACAGTTTTGCACATTCTTTTAATTTTACATGGAAATATAAGGCCCTAAAAAGGCAAGCTGAAATTTAGGATATGTGGAATCGTTTTAATAAAGAGTTTTACATACAGTGCCTTACATGTAGAATAGTGTGTTTGCAAATTTAAATAATATCTGAATGTACAGTGGCGTGTATTCTTATCAAAGATAAATTCACATTCACTGTCTATCAGATCTAAAATGCATTTATACAGACTGCTAGAATTGATATACAGAATGAGGCATAAAAAGTGTTATGTCAGCCGGGGATTTAGCTCAGTGGTTTCGTCACCTGCTGCGCAAGCGCAAGGACCCGAGTTCAATCCCCGGTACCAAAAAAAAAAAAAGTGTCATTCATCAAAAAGCCTCCTTTTAACAGTCTTTTCTCTCCTTTTTTAAAAAAATTCCAAAACCTGTACGTACATTTTTAATTTTTAAAAACAATCTGTTAAAAGGTAGCATTTCATGTTAACCACCAATTCATATAGTCTATAAGAAATAAAACTACATGTGTGATATAAATATGTGTCAACTATGTCCATATGTACGTTGAGTGTTTACACAAGCACACACTTATGCACACCTGTGAGGAGCACTGGAGGCACACAGAACTCACATGAGGACTGAAGGCCAGACACTTTTGCCTTAGGTGCCTCCCATCAAATCTCTCCATGGTTCCTGTAATCTGGCACCTGTGCCAGGTGCCAAATCACCTAGGGCATCAGTGATCGCCTAGGCTTTAGTTATTCTATTTTCTACCTCTCTTAGGATAATGGAAGCAGGAAAAACCTTTGGGTGCTGTTTAGAGTGAAATGGAAGAAAGGGAAAAAAGAGAGTGACTGACTAAGCTCAATTGTTTGTAACTGTACTAATGGGAGTTTTAGGGGTCTGAGGTAGATCAAGATCTCTATATTTTTACATCTGAGTATTAATTGTACTAGATAAAAACTTTTCCCAGTGGCCTTTTGATGCAGTCTCCTTCATTGGCTATTGAGAAACACTAGACCTGATAGCAAGTTTTTTGTTTGGTTTTGGTTTTGGTTTTTTGACACAGGGTCTCTATATGTAGCTCAGGTTGGCCCTGAGCTCACTAAGTAGCCCAGACTGGCCTTGAACTCATAGCAGTCCTCCTGCCTCAGCTTCCAAAGTGCTAGGATTACAGCACTCTGTGTACCACCATGCCCAGCTTGGTAGCAAGCTTTCAAATTGTTGCTATGCTTTGTAGCTGGTCTATAAAATTTTTTAGCTGTATCCAATCATCTCCCTGGAGAAGAGATACCCACCATGGCAGCCCAGAAGCACTAGAAGTGGGCAACTGTCTACAAACCCAATACCCATCCTTGTCAATATTTTTGGCATATTGCTGGGCCCAATCAAGGAAAACATTAGTTCTCCCATTGGAGAATGGTATAAGGGTTAAGAAAAAAATGAATTGTCTGACTTTGATTTTAACAGACATAGTGTGGCTGTGAGAGGATATACATAAGCAGAATAAACTTATCTAATTTATCATGATTCAGCCTTTTTATTCTTTTTTAATAGTATCCACACGTCTTCTAAAGGCTCACAAGGGTATTAGTCACAATCTCCGTCTCCTTGACTTCTCAATTTTGTGAAGCCTCAAAAGGAACAGGTTTAATTCTTGATAAGTGAATCTAAGATGGATATTCTAGTAGCTTCACAGCTGTGGGTATGCTTAGAAAAACCTGGTAGGGACCTTTCCATTTAGGGAGGAACTAATTTAAGGTGACTCCTTCTTCCAAACTTTAAATAACACATAATTACCAGGTTGAATGTTAGGGATATGAGTGGCAGAGTGTGGAGTCGGAAGGACTTTATTCCCACATTCTAGTAAGGCCTTCTGTTCCTGACCTAGATTGATGATGTATTTAATCTTTTTCTGTGTTTGAGGAAGTTAGAAACTAGATCTGAAGTTAGAAACTGCCTCCCATAGAGCACCTCATAAGGACTTAGTTAGAAGTTTTAGGGGAAATTCTAATCCTTAGTAAAGCAACAGATAATAGTTTTAGCCAAGACTCTGAGGTTTCTTGGCATAATTCTGCCAAGGTGGTTTTAATATATAAATTGGCCCTTTCAACCTTTCCTAATCCCTCAGGATGTCAAGAAATAAGAAGATATATAAGTTATCCTCAAAGCTCAAAAAGAAATTTTTGTGTCACTCTAGAGACAAAAGTTCCATTATCAGTCTGAAGTAACTTGGAAATCCAAACCTAGAAACAATGTCTTTAACCAAGCCTCTCTGACTTCTTGGGCCTTTTTACTCAGGGAAGGATATGCTTTTATCCATCCAGAGAAGATGTCAGCAAAAACTAAGAGTTATTTGTATCCCTGGCATGGGGGCATCTGGGTGCAACATAGTTTCCAGTCCTCTCCAGGCAAGATATCTCACTGTTTTTTTTTTTTGGTACCAGGGATCGAACTCAGGTCCTTGCATTTGCAAGGTAGGGGGCAGAACCACTGAGCTAAATC